TCCTGATTTAATTAGTTAAGGTATTTAGATTACATTTATGCCCCTAGATGTTTACTTGATTGGCAGTTACGCTCGATATGTAACGCAGGGGTAGTTTCGGATAGTTAGGTTATTTGGATTGGACCTAGACATGTAAATTAGGATCAAACTCCACGGCTCGAGCCCACCCAACCATATAATTAGTGGACTTGAACTTTATTATATAAATCCAAAGAATCATATCTATCAAGCTTAGTCCATTTGAACATTAACTATTTTGGATCTAACCCAAAAAACTCGACCATATATTTGAATTTATTAGATTATTTAATATTAGTTTTTGTTTCTTAAATAAATATAGAATTAGTGTTCTTGTTATAAACAAATATAGTATTCTGAAAACTATAGTAGTGTCAAAATCTAGTTTTATCATTATTATTTATGTTTTAAACAAATTTACAAACCGTCTCCTACCAAAATATGTTGAAACACTAATGTGTACATATATTTGATTGGAAAGATTTACGGTTCGCTATCCAAAAACCTATTTTTATTTAAAAAAAAATATTTTATGTTAATATATATGTCAAATTTAAATATTTTATAGTTTCTATGTAACTTTTTTTATGATGATAAAATTCACTGATGAACGTCATGATCTTATTTATACACTTTTTATTGCTTAGAGTTAAAAGAATTTTGATTTATTATATTAACTAATACTGTTTATTTGGTTTATTAAATAAAACATTTAATTTACTTTTAGATTGTACAAATATATGGATGATTATTCAAATTTAGATTAAATTAATTTTAAATTTAAGCTTTTCAATTTCAATTTATCTTTCTAAAAATCCAAAAAAAAATCTTCTAACTCTTTTAGGATCGGATCAGACTTTGACATATAGGTTCAAAATTTTTGTGAACCAAATTAGGCTGAACCAGGAGGCTATAAATCACAAAACAGTTATATTTGCCAAGATGACACAGACAAGAGTAAATATAAATCAGTAAAGTTAGTTCAATTGTTTCTTCCAAAGCCTCCGCAGTTTTACATTTTAACAGTCAGTAATTGATTTTTTATAATGTAATTTTTAAAGTGTTATTAACTGTTTAGGCTTTGTCTGATTCAAACTTTTGTACAGTATAACATATTATTAGTACCTCATGAAAAATTAAAGTAGTTGTGAGTGGGAATCATCTAGCTTGCCTTTATTTGGAAAGATCAATAACAATCAATTGCCTAACCTTGAAGAAAAATTCATTGAGTTTAACGAATTACAGATGATACAAGTATTTAACCTTTATTGAAAAACAATAAATCACAAAATAAGCTACGAAACGCAGGGGCATATCGGTTATTTCTCTTCAAGAAGGGCATATCAGTATTTATCAAAATAGACTACGAACCTCTCTAAAACGCTTTGATCCCTTCGTCTTGCTTCTATAATCTCTCTCACAAAAGCGATCGTGATTGATTCGTGCTTCTGAAACTGAGTACTCCATAACGACTCCTAAAAGGTTCGCAAAATGATCTGATCGGGTCGGGTAGCCCGATTGACACCCCTAACTAGGTCGGGTCCAAACTACCTTTTTATAGCCAATTTCAAATTGATTGAAAGTTATCATTTATTACATAAGTAGAGGTAGTTCGGTAGTTAGATTTGTTTCAGTAATTGGTCTGATAGAAATATTTGACCATCTGCATTAATAAAGCTCTCAATAAATTTCTCTAACATTTAAACATGAAAGAGGTGGGAAACATCTCTCCAGGTACAGATGTTGTACACTATTACGAAAAACGTTTACCATTTGTCAATTAATGATACGGTTTGAAATTTTCTAATGTTTATTTTCTTGTTCCAGGGACCCGATAGCATTTCTACCACTGAATATGCCTTTATAGTATTTTTTTTTTTGGTCAAAATGCCTTTATAGTATATTTCTAGTTTTTTACCTCATTTGTTGCCGAACAAGTTCGAACCTATAGAAAAAAAATTATTGTTTTCATTTAATTATCTGAGTTATAGTTTTCTATTAAGGGTTTATAATTAGTTAAGTTATAATTACTTCTTAACTTTGTGATCTATGTGAAATATGATAAATTTGCTAAAACAGATTCTTCACCTTATATGTGTAAGTTTAACTTTGGCCGAAAATCACCTCCAACATAATATTTTTATATTGGCTTTAGTAAGATTAGTCCATTATATTTTGATTTTGATTACATTACATATTTGGAAAGGTAAGTTTGAACTTTGAAGAATAACAATTATTTATACCTTCGTTTTTGTCTAGACAAAAAGAAAAGCTGAATTTTGCAATAAACTAGTAACAAATTGTTCAAGGAAAACAAACATAAGAAAGTTATATAATTAATGGGTTTATGTAAAGTACTACTTAGACTAATTATTAGTAATATTAGACAATCTCTAACTCATTTTTATTTTTATCTCTATATATTCTTTTAAAATAAATAATCTATATTATAAAATTGAATTTGTTTCCATATATTACATCCACTTTGGAGTTTCCGGCGAGACTTCATCTTTAAACGAACTACATCTTCATCAGAATCATCTTCTTTGTCTTTCAAAAGAAGCTGAGTTTGCTTTTACCACAAACCACATAAACGTTAAATGATGAAAACAATATCTTTAAAACAACAAAGTTCACACACCTCAAGAGCTCTCTTCTTTCCCTGGTCATTGCTACATCCTACAAGATTTAAACGACAAAGACACTTGAGAAAATAACCAAAAAGAAAAAACAGACTTGAATTTGTTACCAAAATCATTAAGCTTGAACATACATTGGACTCCTCGTTCTTTCCTTCCTTCTGCTTTTCAGTAGATTCTCACCAGGAAGAGAGAGAAAATATGAACAAATTAGGCACGGAGAAATTAAAAATGGTAAGACAAATTAGTAGGGTAACACAAACATGTTCAGATTCTTGGTCTTGGTCGAGTATAGCTTCAAGGAGAAGCTTATAATGCTCAGCTTCTATAAATTTCCACTTGTTACAATACGTCTTCAGAAGTTGGTTGAGAACCGTCTTTACTTTCTCCTCTGGTATTTCCAGATTCTTCATGGCGTTGCAAGCCTTCTTAAATCGAGGAATTGGAAACACAAATCACGCCAAAATAACCTATTTAGTGACATCACTTTATGACGTGGGTGAAGGAGAAGAGAGTAGAACTCTTCTTTATATATAAAGATATTCCTTTAAAATAAATATTATATATAAAAATATTCCTTTAAAATAAATAATCTATATTATAAAATTGAATTTGTTTCCATATATTACTATATAATAGAGTTCTTCTACTTTTAGGAAAGTTTGGATCAGGGGAGCAAGACCTATAAGGGTAACATCTACAAACTGGTGCCCGCCGAACTACAATGATGGTAGTTGGTGCAACCCACCGCATATACATTTCGATCTTTCGCTACCAATCTTTCTCAAGACCGCTGAGTATAAAGCATGGATCGTTCCGGTGAAGTACATGCGAGCTATGTGTCTAAAAAAGAGTGGTGTCAAATTTCAGTTAACTGGGAATCCTTACTTTTCATGGTTTTCAACATTGGATGTGATGGTGTTGAGGTTAATGTGAAAGCTTCGAAGACCGATTAGAGTAAGATGACAAGGAATTGGGGACAAGTTTGGGATACAACTACGGTGTTAACCGGACAAAGTTTATCGTTTTCGGTTACTACAAGTGATGGGAAACATTTAAAGTTTGATAATCTTGCTCCATCTACTTGAAAGTTTTATCAAACTTATGATGGCAAAATTAACTTTTAGTTGGTAAATTCTTTTATCGTTTATTAAGAAAAAAATGTGGTATCTTTAATGGTTTTAAATGTAGTAACTAAAATATTAATGAATATAAAATAATTCATTTATTTCCATTCTTTGAAATCTACACTATTCACAAAGAATATTTGTATACATATGGTTTCCTTACTATGACTACCTGCTTGAAAAAAAATTGTAAATTATATTTTAAATGGTTTTTTATATTTTAGTTTTCCGCAAAACGGCTAAACGAAATAAAAGCAAAGTGACAAAATGTCATGAGACTTGATTTCTTCTTCGTCAAATATTTTTTTAGTTATTCAGCATGGCAAACAAAACAAGCAAATTCAATTTTTTTTAATAATAAGTATTCTTAAACAATAAAAAAACAATAACATAAATTCCAACCAGAATCAAACATTTCAAAAGAGTACACAAAACTTCCAGTAAGCTTTCTCTCTAGCAGACTTACATCAAGTCTCACTCATTCCATGATCGAGGAACCGTTGCTCGATATGGGAGTGAAACAAGGATTTGATGGTGTTTCTGAGTTACCACATTACATATAGTCGAGAAAGCTTTCAGATTTTTGTTTTGTTTCCACAACCTTTCATGTAAGAAAATGGAAGAAGAATTTCAAAACCTTTTTAAGAAATCAAGATTCCGGAAGAAAATTCGAAACTTAGAGTCTGCTCCTCCGCCTACGACGCTGTCTCCTTTCCACTAGTCGGAACATAAACCCTCACAATCGAGTTTTACCGTTTCAGCAAACATAAAGTATCAAAAAGATGAGTAGAAGTCGAGACTGTGTAATACTATACCTTATCCTTGTGTGTGTAGATAATTGACAAAGGCCACTACAAAAAATGGAGGCAGAATATATTAGTTTCAAAGCAGGAAAAAACTAACTGAAAGGAGTGTGTATGTGTCTACAGCGGTACATATGAACTACATTATTTTAATATGGGCTTTAATATGGGCTTTAATATGGGCTCAAAGCCTTCCCACTCTTCTTGGTACTTGTGGTTTTACACGAGTAAGATTATTGAATCGGGTATGGAACAATTGGACCGAAAGAATTTTAAAGAAAGTGACACGTGTCGCATGATAAAAGGTTTGTGAGAGGATCTTTACGTGCTCGATCGTGAATTTATCACTCCCTCGTTCCTTTATTCATCTGCTTCCGCTTATAAAAAGCTAGGACGAATATCACACTCTCAATATCTCTCTCTCTCTGGATCGTGAGGTTTAAGCTGGGTTTAATCGCATTCGTAGCCCTAGAAATTTGGCGCCTTCCCTCTTCAATTCAATTGGGTTTCTTGGGTACCTCCGTAAACCATCCCCAATTTCGCTAATTCGCTAGGGTTTCTTCCGAATCTCTCTCGTCCTTCTTCCTTATCGATTCTGCTGCTTCCAGAGGTTTAACGGCGGGGAAGGCTTCTTCTCCTGTAAGCTTTTCAATTATGTTTATCGAATTCGTTTTTAATCGACGCCCTCTTCGTGAATTCGACTCGCTGAGAGTTTCTAGGGTTTTTGCTGAGGACAAGTATTGATTGGAAAGAATCGATCTTTAACCAAATTTAATGTTCGTTTCCTGTATTAGGCAAATGGGTTCTTATTAAATTTGTAATCTTTGCTGAAAATTTTTCTCCCTGTTATGTCTCTTTGAAGGTACCGAGAGGAGAACTTGCGTGTGTGGTTGGTGGGGGGGAATGAGTTAAACAATATTGATTCAAGAGGATGGTTCTACATGTTACTCTGTGCAAAGCTGTAAGAAAGGTTGAATATGACCAATGGAGGAGGCGGGGAGGGTGGAGGAAGTGGGAAAGGGAATCGTTTTGGCGGCAATGATTTCACCTACGCAGTCACTAGAATGGCCGTTGCGCAGATATGCGAGAGCGTCGAGATTAGCTCTTATCAGGAGTCACATGCACGTGAAGGCGCTAGGTTCAGTTCTTTTCAAGAGACTGCGCTCGAGAGACTAACAGAGGTAGTGATACAGTACATTCAAAGCGTTGGGAAGACGACGCAGTTCTATGCTAATATGGCTGGTAGAGTAGAAGGTAATGCTCTTGATATTGTTCAAGCGTTGGAGGATTTGGGTTCTGGGATGGGTTTCAGTGGTGCTCATGATGTTGAGCATTGTCTTGCTGATTCCGGTGTGGTCAAGGATATTATACGTTATACAGCGGAAGCGGAGGAGGTGCCTTTTGTTTACTCTCTTCCTCGTTTCCCTTTTAATAAAGGGAAGAGACCAGCTCCTAGCTTTGCTGAGGTTGGAGCTGAGGTACCAGATGAGCATATTCCTGTTTGGCTTCCTGCTTTTCCCCAAACCAAGATGTCTAGCGAGTTGGAGGAGACTAGTGCTGACAAAATACAGGGAGAGGTGAAAAGTAAAGAAAACGGATTGTCTTTACAGTCTGTCGATGTTGATAGGGTAAAAGTTCTGAAATCCGTGGATCAGAAGGATGTTCTGAAACCAACAGAGGAACCGGAATGTAACCCGTTTCTTGCTGCACCAGTTTGGGTTGGAGAGAAGAACGTGCCACGTTTGTTTTGCCCGTCACAGCTTACAAATGAAGAAGTTCAAGATTCTGAGAAACAAGAGAACAAGAGCCATCACATTCCATCCCTTGAGGCATGTGCTCCATCTGGTATGATCAAGGACAAGATCAGATTAGGTGAAACGGAGGATGGAGAGAAAAAAGATGGTGGGAGAACACAACGTAAGTTGCTCCGTTTCAAGATTGGGACTAGAAAGGCCCCTGTGTGTTTGACGATAAAAGAGAGCTTAGAGGAAAAGGGTTGGTTTCTAGAGGATGGAGGCAAGAGGGAGAAAAATGTAGAACGCGAAGAAAAGCCAGTAACCATTGACACAAATGTAAAATAGGTATTTTGTCATTTAGAATTTGTAGACGGGATATCATTGCCTCTTGAGTTTAGTGATAGTTTGCAATTGAATACGTGAAAAGAGATTTTTACTGACTCAAAACTGCTGGATAAAGGTGTATGGCCTTTAGCATCATTTGCTGTTGAAACATTCATTTTTCAGATGAGATATAATATCTTCATTTCTAGTGAGAATTGGTTTTCCTTTTAGTGTAGCAGAGTTAATAGTTCAAACTTAAAGAGGTGTGGTGTTTGGTCTTCACATCATGGAGCTTTATCTTGAGTTGAGTCTTTACATAAACAATTAAGAAGAAAATACAAGAAAGGGTTCACAGAACCAAGAAATCAAATGTTTTCTACTCTGTAAAATGGATTATTTAGATCCTTCATTTACAGTTCTAAGTTAAGGCATATAAGCTATTGAAAAGCTGTTTGGGTTTCCCACTGAGCATTCCTGGTGAAGCAGTTATCACAACTTCACTTATCAAGTCCTTGAAGATTAGCCTCTCAATGTCTAACACTAACCCCGGTGTCTCTTGTTCAATCTCCTTCCAGTTCATGCCCAATTCTTCCCAAATGAGGTCTTCGTCCTCCTCATCCAAGATACACTTTGAGTCATCTTGTAATCGATCAATCTCTAAACACATAGTTTCCAGAAGTTCCTTCCCTTTTGAAATTTTGTTTGTTGCCCTTAGCTGGCTGATTGATGATGTTATTATGTATGGTTGCTTCGTACACCCTTGTGCCGCGAATTTGCGAGCTAAGATCTCGTTTATGGTGTCAAATACAAGCTTCCTCCTGCTTCTCTCTATCAGGTTCGTCGTCTGTTGTTGTCCGAATACTACGCCTCTGTGTTTGTTATCATGTTGAGTCACATTACTTGTCTTGTTCTGTTCCAGGACAAAGAAAAGGCTAGGATTGATTGGTAGGTGTGCTTGGTACAGCTGAATGCTTAGCATGCTGTAGTCAATATCTCTTAGAAGCCCGGATGCTAATAGTATCTCTGAGATGTACTTGTGGTCACCATCCGCACCTTCTTCCATGATATCCTCGGCATCTCGCTGATTTAGACTCCCGTTACTCTCAGGCCACACAATCGATCTACGTAAGTTTTTGTGCTTGTTCATCCACTGGGACTCTTCAGAATGTAGATGATCAACGTCTGTGGCAAGAGAAATAGTAAAAGGTGAGAATTATTAACAAAATCAATCTTTGCAAACTATTTTGGATGCAACGAGATTAAATGTCAGTGAAGTCTGTAGTTTAACCGAATTGATTATTGTCTAAATTTTCCTTTTAGTTTCTCAGTGACTCACCTTTAAAGAAAACGGATATCTTCCTCACAGGCGATGGTGACTCATCTTCATCGAATGCTAAATCAAGAACTGAAACCGGGCTTGGCTGCTCCACCGTAACTTTTAGAGGTTTTGGCAACGACCTCATTCCCAATTCTGAACTCTGCAATTGGTAAAATAGATGAATTTAGTGAAACATGTAATAAGTGAATGACTTGAGAAGTGAAGGAGACAAGTTTATACCCTTTGTTTTGGTGTGTTTTGCTCCGTGAAGTCGCCGTTCCTTTCATATTTATATCTGCTTGTAACCTCAGTGTCAAGGTTTGAAGGCGAGCTAACGTTGCTGTCAGATCTTAGACTTCTCAAGTCACTGCTTTCATCACTTAGACGGTCTTCTGATTGCTGCATGCTCCGAGGTTTTCTTCTTGGGGAGGTTGATTCCGTATGTTGCCTATTAAGAAGCTGTCTTTGGATCTTGTTCTGTTCTGGTTTTGGAGACGTTGGTCTTGACTGCTTCTCGAACCCCAGCTTCTTCGGCTGTGTTCTTGGGCTCACACTAGGTTTCTGGTCGTGTTTCTTCGACTGCAACGGTCTAGTACTACCAGTGTTTTTCGTTGCAGAATCTGTCAGGCCCTTGTAAACTCCTGGCCTTGGGGTCACATCCATGGCTCTTTGCTTACTCGGAGTGACTTTCTGGCTTTGCCTCAGGTTTGTAACCTTGACATTTGGTAAAGTAACACTCCGTGGCGAGGAAGAAGAGGTGGAACCTGAAGCAGTTGCTGCTTTCTTTACCATGATAGACGAAGATCTGGACGACAGGCTTGTTGTTGCAGATGGAACTAGGTCATCGTCTTTGCTTATCAACTGGTGGGACTTGTCCATTGCTTCGAGTATTTGCTTTAGAGCAATGAGATCCTTCTCGGACTTTTTGAACTCAAGCTGCGAAAGCCGCTTCTGTATCTCACCATAAACAGTTAGCGCATCAACTGCTTTGACTTGGTACTTAGCACCATCCACCTCCGTCCGTGGAGCTGCTTTCATAGGAGGAGGCATCATCTTCTTGATTGGATCAGAACTTGATAATCTTTGTAAATGATCACCTTCCACTCGTGAATGTTGTGGCCTTGGGGAGTCGCAGAAACGGTTCTCTCTGGCCTGATCAGTAACAGACTCGTCTGGAATGACTTCAAGACCCATTAGCTTGGCAACAACACTCGACGTTGTTCTTCTGTGACCACTCGTTACAAGCTCTTGCGGCTCTGGTGAAGAACTTGATCTTGCAGCACTCTTAAAGGAGTTCGATCTACTGTCTAATGACAACCTCGGTGTCTCTTTGAATTTGGCGCCTGTCTTTCTTGTCTCCCTCTCATCGTAAGAGAACCGAGGACTGTCTTTCAGCTTCACTACTCTCCGTTCCTCACTACAATTCCGAGCTGGTGATGAATCTTTGAGAAGAGACGCGTTAGCTCTGGCTGCTTTAGGTTGCTGAGACAAGTCTTCTTCTTCATCTCTGCCTCTGGTCTCCTTGTGAATAGAGTTTCTCACAAGCTCCCTTAAATCACTCGACATCACCAAACCACCTCTATTACTCGTTTGCATCAAACCTGGTTGTTCAAACTGAGAGGGCGTGGTGCTGATATCTACAGACGAGAAGCTGGAGGAGCATGGTGAAGAAGAAAACGACAGCCTCGAGAATGATTCAGAGGAGACTCCCCTCTGTTTCTCCTTTGCAGCCTTCTTCTTCTTACTCTTCTCCTACAAATTCAGGTAAATTTCACTTTCTTAGATCCATTTTTTTTCCATGGATATTATCATTTGTCTATTAGCTACAGACTTACCGTTTCCTTGTTGTCCGCTATAACGTTGTTATCACCGACATTTTCAATTGTTTTCCCTGCAAAACATCAAGTTGCGTTAGATATAAACACCACCTATAGGCTATAGATAAGTGAAGAGTTTAGACACAATGGCCATCTATAGACAAGTCATGTTCTAGAGCTTTGGTTTCTTGTGGTCCACTGGTCCTGAATCTTTTGATGTAAGGATCTTAGTTAGAAACTAGAATACAAAAACAGTGTTATTACCTGAATGCAGAGAGTTGAGCTCATTTCCAGCTACAACAACACGTCTTGCGGGATAATGTTGCTTGTAAAAAACCTGGAAGATCCCATTCATACATCCAAATTGTTTATTTAGATTTGGATTCTCATCTGACAAGTTATACAAAAGCTTAGCCGACATGATCTTCTTCTTAGCCTCTGGTTCGTATAAGGTTTTTTTAGTCTTCTTTATTTTCTCATATCAGTTCTTGAAAATCTTCAGTTTCAGGTTTCTCCTCTGTTATGTGCCTCAGGGGAAGAAGAGACAGGAGGACAAGGAAGAACGCAGCATTTTGACAACGGTAAAGCCACTTGTGAAGTTATGACCAGACAAAATATTAGGTTTCTCTGTGTTTGTTCTCTTGGAGGGTTCCTTGAAGAAGAAAGAAGAGTATGAAAAAATAAGTTTTTTTTGTTTGGGTTGTTTGAGAGAAATGAATCTGTAAAAGGCAAAGAGCTCTCTTCTATACAATTATATGGAGAAGCTCGTGAAGCATATATAACATCGGTTGTGTGATGTATATACACATGCGTGTACATATGTATACGTGTGTATCCGTAGATTTCTACATGTAAGAGAATGTAATTGAATTGTTTAATGTTTTAAAATGAAAATTTATGACAAAGCACTGAAAAAAATCTGCTTGGGAATAATGATGTATCTATTTTTTATGCATCTCTGATGAAAGTGAGGCACATGAAAGCACAGACCAAAATAAGTTCTTTTTCTTTATTTTTTTTTAGCAATACAAATGATATTGGATAAATCCATTTATTTTTGAAGATTTGTCTGATTATTCAATTATAGAATCAATGTGTATATATACTTTAAAATCTCTTTTTTTGTACCAATACTCATATCAATTTCTAAGAGACAAAATTAGATGGTACAGTTAATAACATTATAAATGATAATTAATGGTGCAATTACATGACATTTTAAATAGTAATTAATGAACAGAGAAAGGAAATAGTGAATGAAAAAGAGGTTTCCTTACACATCCATGTGGACAAAATAATGTGGGTGGGTCTGATAAGTCTTTGGTGCCCTTTTTACATCTGCATGTGGAGTTTGTCAGAGACATACAGCAGAATTTTTTCAAAAACAAATGAAAAATATATTTTTAGTTACAACAACAAATAAATATATAAAGAGAAAAGCCTATAGGAAAAGAAAAGAAAAATATATGAGAGGAAACCAATGGTCAAAGACAAAATTACAATTAATTGTTTAGGGAGAAGGTGGATTGGTGCACTGGAAGAAAGCTTGCATGGTCTGAGATTGGTGGGTCTTACAGAAGAATAATCTTTTTCTTTGCTTTTCTTCGGGCTTCACAAAAATAAAATTTGATTCTTGAAAATGAAAATACTTACGTTAATGACTGTTTATTTTTGGGCTATTTATAACCTAAACTATTTGGATTACATATAACTATATTCGTTCTCATTTATAAAAATATACGACCTAATTAATCTGTACTTTTTGCCTAACGGTGTATCATAAATATTGTTCAGACTTTGTATGCGACAATAATGTATTCATGTGTATCAATTATATTATGTAACAACTTTTATATGTGAGTTTTGGTGAAAATAACATCTTGATTTTCAAGCATTCAACTACTGACACACCATATAATGAATAGATACGGCGATGTTATTACTCTTGTTTTTACAACGGGCAATATATAGTACCATGTTTCCAATTAAGAGTTTTTTTTTATTGACCAAACAGAAAAAAACTTTATTATAATCAAACACTAGTCTATATTATAAAAAGCTCCGAATAAAATATATACATTTGCACTAGATTACTTGTTTCTGAAATGTGTAATAAGTCAATATTTTTGTTCATAAGAATATAAATATTTGAGGAATTTATGCTTGTATTATGAGGTAGAATAACGTCTTAATTATTGGTTTTTGTTTTGTTTAGATTCTATATCTTGATGTGAGAGTATACCTCATGAGATGTACTAGTTAAACACCTTTTGGGAGGATCACGTGCCTTTGTTCAACTATGTGCTGCTTGTGAATAAGGTGGGGTTCACTAACTTACTTATTTATTTTATATTAGAAATTTGATGTAGTTTATGTCATCATTTTCTCAGAAAGTAGCTTGTGGCCTTGGAAGTAACCAATGAATATGCTTCACATGGGTCATTTTAGTGAGAGTTTTGAACAAGAACTATCACATATTTATAGTCTTGTTAGAGCATCTTCAATGAGGGTTCTACCCATTAAAATTCTAAATAATCATATATGTATATGTATGTATTGTATATATGTATAGTTATGGGATCTACAAAGTGTTGAACCTTTTTTAAAAAATTCTAAAAATAATGTTTTTGAAACTTTCAAAGAAGAATTCTACACTATTTTATAGGCCTCGTAACTACATATGCATATAATATATATATATACACATATATACTTATTTAGAATTCTAATGGATAAAACTCTCATTGGAGATGGTATTCGTCTGTCAAAGGTGTTTATGATTATTCTTAGTGTTTATAGTGATATAAACTAAAACGTACACATATGTAAAGTTACTTAACCATATGAAAATTATTTTCTACTCTTTTTTTTGTATGAAATATATTCGTTTTCCAAAGATCGCGAGGTGTTTTAGGAACTTGAGAATGTGTGAAAGAAAAATGGTACGTAGTATGAATTAAAGAGTTGAAAATGTACCTTATTTTGTCTTTGTAATATGTTTTTCCAAGTTAATTTGTTTGCACTGACCATCAAATCAATATATGAATCGCACGTTAATCACGCCATGTATCATCTATGACTATGACATCATGTAAATTTTCTAACTAAACTATTTAAAGAATCAAATATGTTAACTATTTAAAGTATATGTCATGACCAATAAAACACAACATCTAAATAACATCCATTAGCCATATGCATATTTGAAGTATTTAGATATGGTTTTAACACGGAGAGAAAATCTGTTCAGGTAGGGTAAACCTACGAATTTGAAACAAAACGAAGTTTGTGGTAAACAATTAATTGGAAGTGGAGTTCAAAATAAAAGGATAACAAAATCATATGAAGCAAAATTCAACTTTAATAAAAATAATATAATAATATAAACAGATTGTGAGTACTTGATTTCAAATAAAATCCCAAACCTCATAGTGTTTTTGTGTTTTTTTTTATGATAGGATCTATGTATCCATTTTAATTCCTCTATCGCCACATGATTACACTTTAGTACCTAACCTTTCAAACTTTCTATAGTTTCACCATTCATTTAAAGTGTATGTTTCTTCTTTTTTTTGTTTGTTAAAGGGCTTTCAAAATGTATGTTTCTTCCCCCTTTGATTTTTGACGAGCAGAGCAACATTACATGCACGTATCATTTATGTAATGTCTACTCAAACTATACATGTATATTGTAATGTTGCTTACACATGTGTATTATAGCCCTTTTATTTAATCCTTGTTAATCAAACTTTTTCATAATTTTCTTTAAACAAAAGTAAGAAAATATAGGGTTTGAGCATGGTATATATAGTCATCAAGATGAAAGTGAACGGTGAACATGAATTAATATTCACATTTTAATATCGAGTTATTCAGATTTGAAAACTAAAATTCAGTTTAGACATAATCATTCATGATGTCTTCATATATTGTAAAGAGCTAATCACTCACATACAGAGTATAATACTGTGTATAAAACATTTATGATCCTTTAACTCGCATGTTGTCAAAAGTCCGAGTTTATTTTTAATTATGTCTCTGTCTTCTAGAATTAATGTTTTAGAGATTTTTCTTAACAAACACATATAACCCTGTTCAATGTTCCCATCTTATTTCTTGAATAATCTCTAGACTGGAAATATGACAGGATATCATAGCAATATAGTAGGTAAATTCAAAATAAAACTTGTGAAAAATGAAATTCTTTTAGTAGGTATTAACGTACGTATAAAAAATGCAACACATCAACTTAATTTAATTAATTAGAGAAAGTGTACTTGCTAGGAAAAAAGTGTGGATATGAATTAATTATAGCTAAATACAAGGGAAAATGTGGTAATTACGTCATATATGTGTATGCAAATAGGCAGACAAAGTCATAAATTCTGTGATAGAAATGCATTTGGTGAGACCGTTTTAAAATATTTATCTCTTAAGTTTTTAGGCATAACTTAGTGATTACTGTTTGACCAAAAAAAAACTTAGTGATTACTGATTAGATTAAAATTCCCAGCTCTATTGGTGAACATCGGTTGGCAAGTAACAACGAAAAGAACGATAAGCTAATAAGTTAATTAACGATCCAAGCCAATACTAGTTCCTATTTCCCTATTCTAACTGAACAGTTTATAATTTCACATGGGCTGGATCTCAGATTATCTTCAAAGTTATAAATGTTATCCATTTGATACAGAAAATATTACTTGAAATAAACATTTACTAACAGATGTTATCAATGTGCATTGGTTGGAAGTTGAACCAAGCCATTACTATTAGGTACACACAATTAATGTTATGGTGGATGGATTAAAAAGGAAACTAAGGAAAATCAAGAAACAAAGTTACCAAACCAATGCCTGCAACTTTGGCAACTAGGTTAAGATATTATTGTTCTCATAGTGTATACAACTATGCATGCACATGGCAATATGGTGCTTCCTTCATATATACTTAAAAAGTTGGTTAAGATATGAGCCAGCATTGAAGTTTTTTGGTGAGTGGATCTAATGGTCAATTAAAAATATAACCACTTTGATATTCCCTAAACATATGTATATTCGAATCTGCCCCACTAGTACCAAACTCTTTTTACGAAGAATGCCTCGTTGGAAAGTACAAAAAACAAATCATGATTATATATTAATATGCTCATAACTAACGAATACTATTAGATTAACTATTTAAAATTAAATTTCAACGATGTGTATTTTCATTTTTCGGTCTACGAGACTATGATGAATTCTATAATGATAATGAAAACAATCTTTTCACTTTTACGATTTGATTTTGTTAAGCTGGGATTTGTTCTGCTTAAAATGGATATCGTATGTGTTTTAACTTTTAATCCAAATAACAAATATTTTAAAATTTATCATATGCATCTTTATTCATCTTGTGGATCCATACTATTATTTATTACGAAGTGATTTTTGCATTCGAAATTTTATATTAAAAATTAGACTAGTTAACATCGTTGTTATCCTTAATAATTTTTTAATATAATTTATTATATAATTGAAAAAGAATTTATATAAATAGTATTAGATTTATATATTATTTTCGATAATTGATTATAGTTTAATATGATAGATTGTAATAATTAAAATATATTTTAAAAAATAAGATAATACTTATATATAATTGTGCTCTTATCTATAAATAATATTTTCTATTATAAAAATTAAAACAAAATAAATTAAAGTTAAATATTAATTAATAAATTACAATTTAGACTGATTAATATCATTGTTACTCTTAATGAACTATATAATTATTATATAATTAATAGTTACAAACAAATTTTGTATTAATAATATTAGATTTAAATGTTATACTAGATAATTTATTATAATTTAATAGAATAAATTTTCAAAATTAAAAAAATATTTAAAAATAAGACAAATATTATCTATATTGTGTTTTTATCTGTAAACAATATTTTTATTATATTTTTTAAAAATATAGATAGTAAAATTGAAAATTAAATATTAATTTCACAATTTTTATAAAGATATTTCAAATTATTTCTATTATGCAAGTGTGTTTAAAAAATCAACATACTATATATATATATATATTAGTATATATATATATATATATATATTGTTGAAACCTTTACCATATACAAATAAATTCATTTTTGATTTTTTAAGAACACTATCACATTGATTTCTAGTTGATAAAATATAAAATAATAAATATTTGTAAAACATTTATGTCTACATATGCGGATACACCATATAGCAATCAATGTAAAACTATAACTAGTTCTCTTACACAATTGTTGTTCCATAAAAACAACTCTAAAGCAACTTTAATTAAAATGGAAGTCTATATACCGATTAGGATTATGAATTTAACTGCGTGTCTAGTTGTTAATAAATAAGCAAAATTAATAAATAAGCTATTTTTGTTAATGAATAATTTAGTCAAGTTGTCCCAATGATCCAATCATATGGGCTTTTTCCCTATTATCTGCATCCATGAAAATCGCACAAGTTTCTGTCCTTCCGAACTTTTGTAATTAATTAATCTCCTATGGTTGGTTTTCAGTTAATTAATTCATTTAGTTAGCGAAAAGTATTTATTCCAAAACATGTGAGGAAATGGAAACATACACTAGCATTAAACTAAAATAAAACGTTATATCTCATTTTTAATAAATTTTAACTAACATTTTAAAATTATTTGTTAAATCAAATAATTAATTAAAACACTCATATAATTCATGAAAAATCGTTAGCAATATAACTATTTTTTTGAAGGTTTACATACTGAAACAAAAGATGTAGTCTTTTGTGTAAGCATATCATTTCTGGTTAAAACTTTTGAGTTGCAGATCTTGATATCATACCATAGTATCTAAGGATCAACTAAGGTCATGTTTGTTCAGGTGTTGAGACATAGCGACTTGCGACGTACAATTAAGATCATGTATGTTTACGTATGATGTGATCTTGCAATCTACGATATACGACTAAACTTGCGATCGACGACATACAATTAGTCGCGTACGACATACAATTAGTCGCGTGATCAAACTTTTTATTTATTTTTGATCGTTATTTTTCCAACGACTTGAAATCAGTTCATGCTATTGGTCGTGTTACGTGACAGCAAAATTACAACAATTTACGACTCCTCGTATATCACATGTCGCAGATTGCACAATAGATAAACGAACATGATCTAACTAAAACATCTATAGAAATAAAGATAGATCTCTTATTTATGCGTTTTAAAAATACGGATCAAAATCTAGTATATATAGTATTATATTATAGTAATACAAGATCATATTAAAACACTGAAGAACAGCCAAAATGACACAACTCCTTCCTGATTACTTTTATTTTCCACGTTGTGATTTATATTTAACTCTAAAAGATTATGTAGTTACTAAAAAATTGTACAAATATGTGAAATATAATATTCATTTATCCATTTAAGCTAAAATATAAAATTCGAGACAAATAGTATATTTTCTGTTATAAGTTTAGCAGGGAAATTCAGATGTAAGAGTGAGGGTTCCATCAGTATTTCACATGTCCATTGCCATGCTTCAACGTCACTTAGAAATCTAAGTCAACGAGAAAATCTTGTCCGCAGGATGACTATGATGATGATGTTCACTATCAAGATCATGATGATAATCGTACATATTGTAATGGTCCCTGAAGTCATGGGCTCTCGCAGCCCCTTTCAAGTCTTCTGGCTTTACCTTCTTTGTCAGAGTTTTGGGAAACTTTTTTCTCTTTTTGGGTTTATTTATCAGAAACTAAAAAGGAATAAAGAGTAATAAATTTAGAAAAACTTGACAAAAAACATAAACTTGATAAACCTTTAATTTAAATTATATATTTCCTTTTGACCAAAAAAAAAATTATATATTTCCTAAAGGTATAGACAAAAACATAAAGAAAAAATAAAGACCTTGTGAGTTAAAGAAGCTGAAAACACCGTTGGGCTTACTTTAAACTTTTTCTAGAGCCTTTAGCCCATTCCAACACTTCCAACACTTCTTTTTCTTTCAGTAAATGTAACCATGAGACCTTTGTGAGATCAAATGATTGAGGGAGAAGATAACATAGTGAAGAAAATGGTGTTGGTGGGGTTTATGGTGTGGTGTGTATTTCAAACAGATCCATTTGACCGTACATCAATGAGAAAAGTCGTTGATAATGTTAGAGTGGGACTGTGGGAGATCTAGATGCTTTGCATGTTCCCACCTAAAGCCTCACTTGGGGTTCACCCGCAGTAATAGTTTTAGAATCTGTTGAAGAGAGCCAAGAGACTCTTCAACATCAAGCCAGTTAGAGGGAGGAGGTCTTTCACCTTGTCACTATACTAATGTTTGATGATTTTATTTGCCTTTATCATTGTGCACTTACCAAGACCTCACAGAGCAACTTTTTCAAATGTTTCTTGATAAAAATATTCTGAAGATATCTATTAAGTTGTTGTAATTGTTGTTGGTCAAACGTAGATAACATAATGATCACTTGCACATTCTTGCTTAATTAATAGCTGTAAACTCCCATTAAAATATGCAAACAATGTGATGGACACAGAGATGTTAAGGATTAGACTTAGTATAATCAAATATACATGTTGCATAATGGCCTGCCTCTATTAAGCTACCTATAACGTAGACAACGTGGGTTGTCAATTGTTATTCTGGAAATTCCAGCTTCTTTTTATCATATGAATCAATTAAATATTTTGTAACATGTAAACGAAAAAAAAAAGAAACAAAAAAAAATGGCTTTACGTGATGCACCAACGACATTACCCCACACGTGCCTACCATAACTTTCATACGTCGTTCTGACCACAAATTGTCTTACACGTGTATATAAATACATAAGAAACATGTATGTGTATCTCTTTGTTCCTCTGTTTCTCAGCCTTGACTTCCGGCTAACCGTAGAAGAAGAGGAAACAAAACCAGAGAAAGGTAACCTAAGAAGCCGAATCTACTCTTACGTGCTTCACAAGTATCCAGATATATTAAAGATCTATTTTTTTTTTTATAATCTAATGTTACATACTGTTAGATTAACTCGCCGGGAAAATGGGGAAAGCTCGAGGAGTTAACAGTGGCGGAGGAGAGAGCTCTCTCGGTTACTTATTTGGATCCGGCGAATCTGTTTCCAAACCGAACATGCCTACCACCACAACAACACCAACAACCACTATCACCGGAGATAAAACAAGGACGGAGGAGGAGGAGAAGAAGCAGCTTGGGGCTGGAGTAAGAGGAAGCCCTAATAATTACATCAGAACAGAGGGACAAAACTGTGGCAACTTCCTCACGGTAATAATAATAATAATAAAAAGATCTTTGTTCCTGTTTTTTGTAAGAAATAGAATTAGAAAACTTACTAAAAAAAGAAAATGTGTGTTTTGTTTTTGTTAAATTTGAGAAACAGGACCGACCATCGACGAAGGTTCATGCAGCACCAGGTGGAGGATCTTCTCTGGGTTACTTGTTTGGATCTGGATCTGGCAAATGATTTGTTTCTCTGCAGCAGCATTTGAACTGTTTGAAGAAAGTGTAAAAAAGTTGTTTAAATTTGTTATTGCTTATGTTCTTAAGGATTGTTTTGGATTTGGTCCGTCTCTTTTGTTGTTGAATATGGATTTATCAATCTGTGGGTTCAAAGCTAGAAGCTTTCTCAATTTAGAAATCTCGAGAATGCGTTTCCTTAAGTTGCTGGATTAATCATTTGTTATCCAATGTTAAACCTTGATGCTGGATCTGAATCATCTTTTATCCAATGTCTGGTCTACGTGTGGGAGTAAAGCTTAGGATTGACTTATTTAACAGCTTTGTGAAACTCGTCTCTTTTGGTTTATTGTCTCGGACTTAGTTCACTACTTGTTCTGTCTGAACATCAAAACGGTTTTGTCGTATTCCCCAAAGATTCAACGGCTTCTTGAAAAGTTTCTGCTCCTTATAGTACAGATCCCAAAGATTAAAGAACCTCTGCAAATAGAGAGAGCTATAGATCTTCACTTATGAGACAATTTATCAGTCTTCGTTCTTGCAAAGAGATCTGTTTGCAGAGATTCAAGGACGTCAAAAAGTGTTGATGAAGAAGGTGGTGTTATTAATAACACTTGGACAAATGAACATAATTGCTTAGGAAGCTAGTATGGTAAAGTTGGGAGATATGTTTGTGTCAGAAGATGACTCAATGCCAGTTTCTCCACTTTTTTCTTGTCTTTAACCCCAAGTTACCACTCTCAGTTCTCCTCTCTGAATCATTAGAGCTTCTGTTTCTTAAACATTAAAAGTCAGTTGAGATGTTGTGTTCGGACAAGAACACGTCATTTTCTGTTGCAGGTTTACTATCATTCACCACAAAACATTGCTTAAAGTTATGGGAAACAAGAAAGTTTAAATTTTGGAGAATGCAACAACAAGTAGGTAAACAAGCCAATCTTCAGACCAAAAAAAAGACTTATCAAATAATCAGTGAAAAAGCTTCTGTTTAAATCCACAAACACATCAAATTTCATATTACTAAAAAAGAAGAAGAAGAACCTGAGGTTAAAGAACCCTACCAATAACCAAAAATCTACAGAAGATGAGGCTCTTCTTTAGCTTCTGCTTCTTCTTCATGATCATCTTTAGCACATCATGTGAGTTCTAGATATTTATTTTCACATTGCTTTCTGCAAAAACCTCAATTTATTTCTCTGATTCCATGATCTTTTTTGTCTTCCAGCTGCTTATGATCCACTGGATCCTAATGGGAATATTACACTAAAATGGGACATCATGTCATGGACAGCAGATGGTTATGTGGTAAGAATCCTCTACAACCTTGTCCATAACTGTGTTTGAAACTTGCAGAAGCTCTCACCATCTCTCTATATATATGCAATTTGCAGGCAACAGTAACTATGAACAACTTCCAAATCTACCGGCACATACAAAACCCAGGATGGACACTAGGCTGGGCATGGGCCAAGAAAGAAGTGATCTGGTCAATGGTTGGTGCACAAACAACAGAACAAGGAGACTGTTCCAAGTTCAAAGGAAACGTACCTCATTGCTGTAAGAAAACCCCAACAGTCGTTGATCTCTTGCCAGGTGTCCCTTACAATCAACAATTCTCAAACTGTTGCAAAGGCGGTGTGGTTGGAGCTTGGGGTCAAGATCCATCATCTGCAGTGTCACAGTTTCAAGTCAGTGTTGGTTTGGCTGGAACTACTAACAAAACTGTCAAGCTTCCTAAAAACTTCACGTTGCTTGGTCCTGGACCTGGTTACACTTGCGGTCCTGCCAAAATAGTGCCGTCTACTGTTTTTCTCACTACTGACAAACGGAGGAAAACACAAGCTTTGAGTAAGTAAACCACTTTATTATATATCCTTTATGGACTATAATCATCACTGATCTCAAAACATCGTTTTCAACCTCATGTTTATGCAGTGACATGGAATGTTACCTGCACATACTCACAGTTTCTAGCCAGAAAGCATCCAAGTTGTTGCGTCTCCTTCTCTTCTTTCTACAACGACACCATAACTCCTTGCCCTTCTTGTGCATGTGGTTGCGAGAACAAAAGGAGCTGCGTCAAGTAAGCAGAAAGAAAACACAAACCACTTAAGATTCATACTCTATTTTCTTATATCTTAAACTGATAACTTTGACTTGCAGGGCTGATTCAAAGATTCTAAGCAAGAAAGGTCTAAACACACCGAGAAAAGACAACGCTCCGTTACTACAATGCACACACCACATGTGCCCGATTAGAGTTCACTGGCACGTTAAAACAAACTACAAAGAGTATTGGCGTGTGAAGATAGCCATCACAAATTTCAATTACAGGATGAACCATACACTATGGACATTAGCAGTTCAGCATCCAAATCTCAACAACGTGACTCAAGTTTTCAGCTTTGATTACAAATCAGTTGCTCCTTATGGATCCATAAGTAAGTCTCTCTCACTCTCTATCACTGTTAATACAACTATTCAGACAACCATTGAAAGACTGAAACTTTATGATGTCTCTTATGCAGATGATACAGGAATGTTCTTTGGAACGAAGTTTTATAATGATCTTTTGATGGAAGCTGGACCTTCAGGGAATGTTCAATCAGAGGTGTTGCTACAGAAAGATGAAAAGACTTTTACTTTCAAGCAAGGTTGGGCTTTTCCTAGAAAAGTTTATTTCAATGGTGATGAGTGTATGTTGCCTCCACCAGATGCCTACCCTTTTCTTCCAAACTCTGCAAAAGGAAACTTGGCTTCTCTCTGGACATTATCACTCACGGTTCTTCTTCTTTGTGTTCATCTCAAGCTTGTGATTTGATCTGATCCTTCTCAGAAACTGTATTTTTGTGTTGGTGTATTGGGTTTTCAGACAATGATCAAAAACAGAGTTTTGTAAGAGATGTTGGAGGTTTTTTTACTACATTAATCGATTTAATGGTTATGTATTTGTTGATCGAGAGGCTTAAATATTTTTCTTTTTAAAAAGACATTTTTAGATGGGCCGAAGTATGCGCATATATGGGCCCAATTGAGACCCATCTTAGTTTATATTCGCTGTGTATATTTTTCGATGGTCCGAAAAGGCGAAATGTCAAGAACGGCGTTTTGTTTTGGGGAGACGCTTTTTTTTGTTGTTTGAAGATATTTTCTCGAGATGACCCCTTTAAAAGTCGTAACCTATTTTCTTTTTAAAAAATTAGTCCAACATTCAACATTTGTTTTTTCTATTAAGTTTCAAATGTCAGGAAAGGTATTGTACGATTTCTACCTATATATTAGTCCATTGATTGAACAAGATTTATATTGAGTATTGACAATGTGAAAAAGTTGATCTGATACGACAGAATAAGTAAAACTATAAAAAAAGGTACATCTCACGATTTGTTTTTGTAAAAGTAAAACATACACATGTGTGTTTACTCAAAAAAGAAAAAAAAACATACACATGTGTGATGTGTGTGACAGCCCGTTCATTAGAAACTGAAAAGGGTGTGGAAAAGCTTGCTGCTGACCCAAACGCCGAAGTTCGTTTAAAAAACCGCGTCTGCGTTTTGAATCTCTCCTCTATGCGTGGAAAATCCTGACGAATCCCAAAGTTAGTTGAATTTGCCTCCAACAAACAAATCCGCAAATTAGAAATTACATTTTCGCCGTCATCGTCGTCGTTCTTCTTCTTCTGGACGCAGATGTCTTCCTGAGTCTTCCTGAGATCAAACTAATTTCGCCTCACCCGCCGCATCGGAGAGTCATGAACACGCCGCCGAGTCCACGTGTCGCGCCTTTTGTACAAACGGAGATTAACTGGGATAAGTACGTTCTCCTCTCTCCCAATTAAAATCGATCCGAATTGTGTATTTGCTTCGATCCAGATCCTCGTGATTGGTTCTTTCCTAGATTTGTTATCGGCAATTAGAAACGGTTAATTTTAACGGAAACATTTTGGTTAAGGTTAATCGAGAAGCTCGATTTTAGATTCTTAGCGATTCACCTATTTATTCTCTTGTGTTGAATCATAATATTTGTATTATCATTATCATTATCATAATCATACACGTTCTTAGCGGGGTTTCTTATTTAAGACTGTTCTTAACTTTTTTAAGTTAAAAGTTTAAGCGAGGACGGTCTAGCGATCTTGACGAAGCTTCGGCCCCAATACGCACCCGGGTTCGAATCCCGCTGGCCACTAGTCTGATACGGACACTCGCCGCTAGTCTGAATTCACCTTGGTGTATGCTCGGATACACCGGATTATTCAAAAAAAAAAAAGTTTAAAATATGGATTCTTATATTCCGCTAAGAATCTCCCATTAAACATGCTATCTTACTGTGAAGTTTCTTGAATTTTTCATTCCATCTCTAATTTTTTTTTTGTGCTTTCTAGGCTTGATAAAAAGAGATTTTACGTAGTTGGAGCTGGACTCTTCACTGGCGTTACAGTAGCTCTCTACCCTGTCTCCGTCGTCAAAACTAGGCTTCAAGTTGCTTCCAGAGACATCGCTGAGAGAAGCGCCTTCTCTGTGGTTAAAGGGATTCTCAAAAACGACGGTGTTCCTGGTCTTTACCGTGGTTTCGGTACTGTTATCACAGGTGCTGTACCAGCGAGGATCATTTTCTTGACTGCTCTGGAGACTACAAAGATTTCGGCTTTTAAGTTGGTTGCGCCTTTCGAGTTTAGTGAACCTACGCAAGCTGCTATTGCTAATGGCATGGCGGGGATGACTGCTTCTCTTTTCTCACAGGCAGTCTTTGTCCCTATTGATGTTGTAAGTGTTATGAAACCACTGCTTTTTTGTAAGATCGGCTGTGATTTGCGATTTTGGTGGAAAATCTCGGTTTTGCGATTTGGTGGGAAAACTCGGGTTTAGTGATTTTGATGGAAATTTTGGTTTTGCTTAAAACACTTTTGAATTTGTGAGAGATCAAATGACAAAATTTTAGAAATTCCAATTATTTGTGACCATTCGGTGGACCATGTCCATATAGTTCAAACCTTTAACGTTCAATGGTCTAGTGATTTTTGTCCATTTATAATCCGCATGGACAAATGATATTGGCAAACTAGGCTCATTTACATATGGACATGGGCAACCAATGGTTGGCCCACCCATTTGACAGCTATAGCTGTGAATGTTGAGCTAATGTCTACTCTGCTGCAGGTTAGCCAAAAGTTGATGGTGCAAGGATACTCAGGTCATGCTACGTACACTGGTGGTATTGATGTTGCCACGAAAATTATTAAGTCGTATGGCGTGAGGGGCTTATACAGGGGGTTTGGTCTCTCTGTTATGACTTATTCTCCTTCAAGTGCGGCTTGGTGGGCCAGCTATGGATCAAGTCAGCGTGTTATCTGGAGGTTAGACATTAACTTTGCTATATATTGCTTGATGATAGTTTTAGTTTGACTGCCAGAACTCTCGTTTCAGTCTTTCTTTGAATTGGAAACGACTCGGTGGTCTTAGGATTTGATACATAAGCTATTTGTTTCACTGATCTTATATCTGCTACGTTTGTGCAGACTCTTAGGCTATGGTAGTGACTCGAAGGCTACTGTTGCTCCAAGTCAGTCAAAAATAGTTCTTGTCCAGGCTTTGGGAGGAATAATCGCCGGTGCAACAGCATCCTCAATCACAACACCATTGGATACTATCAAAACGCGACTGCAGGTATCAACTATTCCCATTGATAATCAAAAACATGATTTTTGTATTGAGTTTGTTTATCTCTCATGAGTGTAAACAAGCTCCCTGGTCCGATGTTCTGGTTCTTAGTCAGAGAACTGCAACATATATAGAAACTAGAATAATCAACCTGAATAAATATAAATTCAGGTGATGGGACACCAAGAAAATAGACCTTCAGCGAAACAAGTGGTGAAGGATCTGATAGCACAAGATGGGTGGAAAGGATTCTATAGGGGTTTGGGTCCAAGGTTCTTCAGCATGTCGGCTTGGGGAACCTCCATGATATTGACTTACGAATACCTAAGTAAGATACTTTTTCTCTATTCCCAAAATCTCACTTTGAGGCATATTTTTTCTTTTGAAATTGTTGATATAATCATATTCTTTAACTTGATTTATTTTCAGAGCGTCTGTGTGCAGTAGAAGATTAGAAAAAGCCTCACTACTGTTCGTTGGTTTTTCTCCTTCGACTAACTCGAATAGTAAGCATAAACCCGATTCATATCTCAGTTATTTGGAAGCTTCCGTGTTTTATAACAATCGGACCATTCTTTGAGCTTTGAAGTCTGAGTTCCGTTATTGTAATCATTCTTTCAACTCTACGTATTGCAATGTATTCTTACAGCAGAAGAAACTCTAGATTATTGGCTGTTCTGCTTTTTATTAGCTTCCGAGAAGCTTCAAAACTTTGAATATAGCACAATAATAATATAATAATTACCATTTGCGATCAGTTCGACCAAATCTTATACATCTAATAATCGTTATGGGTGTCGGTGTGGCTTGTTGTCATAAATATCCAAGCCTGAGTCTCGCTTTGGTTATAGTTGCTTCTCAGTTACATAAGTCTTCACAAATATCATCAAGCACATCATTACCATAACCATTCTTGTCCTAGATCCTACCAATTTAGCCTACTCTTCAAAAGATGTTTTGAGGAAAATGAAACACCCAACTTGCTTCCAATCAAACCGTGAGAACGCTAACCAAAATGTTTGAATTATTGTTCAGCTTCTTAAGAATTTTGGAAGCCAATTATAAAGCTATCTATATATTTCTCACTGGTTAATAAAATTATTTAATATGTACAGAAGTATAAAGATAAACACTAAAATACTATTATACAATAGATTTGGGTAAGAGTTTTGTTTAAACTTATATTCCCATAGACTTCACAATTTAAGACATGCTTTGAAACGTCCTACCCTTCGTTACGATGTTTTGTTTACAATCTTGAAATGTAGTTAAATATAATAATGCATCACTGATATTAAACTGAAAATCATACACGGCAGCACCTACGTGCATGTACTCTCGTTTATGCAATCATCATAGAAGACGTGCATCGACGAGCGGTCCACGACCACAACGTAGAGATTACGGTCCACGTCGTTAGGATTACGCTTCAACTTTTCTCAAATTTTAGTTTTTTAATTCTATATATTTAGAATGAAGGATAATATTTTTTCCTCTGGTAAGAGATTTGTTTACCAAAATTTTAAAGTATTGGAAATTTATGATTCATTCGAATCTAAATCAAATTAGTAAAGAAGTATGATTATGTCCCTTTTTCAAAAAAAAAGAGGGTATGATTATGCTCCTTGTTTGACGATAATTATGATTTATGGCCTTGTATATGTTGTACATTATGAATATATATGAACTTTAACTCAAATGAAAGTTAAAAATAATGTTGAACAATTTAAGACGCTACCATATATCTCCCCACACTCCACATGCACTATTCCTTCGTTACATAGCAAAGTAAATAGAGCATTTATTAAATTGTCAGTTCACTTTTTCGTTTTACTTGGCTTTTCAGTTGTGAGGTAAAGATGTAGGAATGAAGCTTCTTTTGCAACTTAACAAATACTATAATTTCATTCTGTCGACAAAAATTATTGTTCAGTTTCTTAAATCTACGTTCATTTGATGAGCGCAACCGGTATATCGTAATTCTAAACAAGAACTACATACCAATGCAATTATATTAAATGCTTCTCAGTTTTAAGCTTGAATTGCACAAAAAAAAGTTTTAAATATTAAATCCAAACCAAATTGAAACACTTTTTTGAGAAAAAACTGAAACAATTCAAATCTAAAACTAACTATGTTATAGAAAACTGAAATTAAATTTCGTACTTGTCTTAATTTATTTTAAAATTTAATAATATGCTGAAATTGAAAATAATTATACTAGACACAGTTTTATACTAAAATTATAATTTAACACCGAATTAGAATGGTTTTAAAATACACATATTATTCACCCTGGATATCTGATAATTAATTTTTTTATCAGACTAAACTCTTCAAATTGTTGATATCATCAAAAATTAGCTAAATAATTATTTTTAAATCCTAGTATTATAAATAATTAATTACTAAAGATTATTACAAAACCGAACTTTACGGTCATCAAAAGGCGGAAAAGAAACTTTACAACCCTACCGCTTTTATGAATCGGACATGATGTGATGATGAAACGAGTATTAATCCAACACGTGTCGACAAGATCTGTATAAATCACACACACTGGTTTTAACTTTCATCCAACTTTCAAAAGCCCAATAAAAAAACAGAAACACAAAATCCACCGACGCGATCCAAGCTCATCCTCTCCCTTGAACCATGGTTGATCCGGCGAACACCGTCGGAATCCCGGTGAACCCGACACCGCTTCTTAAAGACGAGCTCGACATCGTCATTCCAACGATCCGTAACCTCGACTTCCTCGAGATGTGGAGACCTTTTCTTCAGCCTTACCATCTCATCATCGTCCAAGACGGAGATCCCACGAAGAAGATCCATGTCCCCGAAGGTTATGACTACGAGCTGTACAACAGGAACGACATTAACAGAATCCTCGGACCAAAAGCTTCTTGCATCTCGTTTAAGGACTCTGCTTGTAGGTGCTTTGGGTACATGGTGTCTAAGAAGAAGTATATCTTCACCATTGATGATGATTGCTTCGTAAGTTTTTCGATCTAAGTATTTAATTCACTTAGATGTGACGGATCTTTGGTTTAGTCTATGGTTCTTTGTCTGATTAGTTAGGTAGATTGTGTAATTCAGTGTTTTGTATTCCCACTGAATGAGTCTCGATCTGTTTCCCATCCAGACATGATCTCTGATGTGTTAACGACATTGTTGATCTTTGTGTCTGCACACGTCATTGTCCTGAAACTTTTTTATTTCCGAACATGTTAATCGGGAAATTCCTAACATGAGGTTCTAAGGGGAATGTAATAATCTGTTTCCTAACTTTTTAACTAAAAAAATTAAGAGTCGATTCTTAGCATTTTTAGTTAAAATGTTAAAAGACGAATTTTTATATTCCGGTAAGAACCTCATTTTAAGAACTACCCAATAAACTTGCTCTCACTCTGTTTATTTTCTTACTGTGTTAAAAATGGTATAGGCATGCCTATGCGGCAAAACCTATTTTTCTAGATTGATTTTTTTTTTGAAATTAGTCTAGATGTTCAAAAATTCTGTCTATGCATGATCAATATTTTAATTACCGTAGCAATTTCTTAAATATTAATTTTTTTGAGGTCTTGTGGAAATTAGTGGCTAGATATGTATTTTTTTTTTGCGTCTCATTGGTACGTTTTTCATTGATGTGTGTGTGTATTGTATATAGGTTGCTAAGGATCCATCTGGGAAAGCAGTGAACGCACTTGAGCAACACATCAAGAATCTTCTCTGTCCATCGACTCCATTGTTCTTCAACACTTTGTATGATCCTTACCGTGAAGGTGCTGATTTTGTTCGTGGATACCCTTTTAGTCTTCGTGAAGGTGTTTCCACTGCTGTTTCTCATGGTCTCTGGCTCAACATCCCTGATTACGATGCCCCTACACAACTCGTCAAGCCTAAGGAGAGGAACACTAGGTGAGATCATTATAATCTTACAACTTTTTTTTTTTGTTTCAATTGTTCAAGTCTTTGCTAAACATTTGATATTGTTAGGTATGTGGATGCTGTGATGACCATCCCAAAGGGAACACTTTTCCCAATGTGTGGTATGAACTTGGCTTTCGACCGTGATTTGATTGGACCAGCTATGTGTGAGTCAAGCCCAACAAGATTTGAATATGAAGGCCCAAGCGAAGCCCACCACACTCTGTCTTCAACGGTCTTCATCTTTGTCGGATTGCAGAGGAAGGGAGAGCTGTACGGTGAACCGTTTCACCCCTCTGCTAGCTTTATGTGCTGGCTAATCTTATCTCCTTTCCAGCTGTATAGCCAAGCTTATCTAGATCCTTNAAGGGAGAGCTGTACGGTGAACCGTTTCACCCCTCTGCTAGCTTTATGTGCTGGCTAATCTTATCTCCTTTCCAGCTGTATAGCCAAGCTTATCTAGATCCTTCTTAATGCTATTTATATGGCTGTGTAAACCCAACTTATTATTCATTCAAAGAAAGTATTGTTCAGTCAAATTTGTCTCTTTCTCTTAACGTTCATATGGTATCAGAGCTCGTCTAGCCTTAACAGGTCTTTTCAATGGCGGATCCTGTCAATCCATATCCGTTTCCAAGCAAGATTCACGTTGTCAGCTCAGTCACTTTGAAGCTCAACGATGGAAATTACTTGCTCTGGAAGACACAGTTTGAATCGTTGCTATCAAGTCAGAAGCTTCTTGGGTTTGTCAATGGTGCTGTTGCGGCTCCTCCTCCGACGCGTGTGGTGACAAGAGGAACTCAAGAGGTTGAAGAACAGAATCCGGACCATGAGTTTTGGTTCTGTACAGATCAACTCGTTAGGTCTTGGATTTTTGGTACACTTTCCGAAGAAGTTTTGGGGTCTGTTCATACGTTGCAAACCTCTCGTGAAGTCTGGATCTACCTAGCGGACAACTTCAATAAGAGCTCTCTCTCAAGAGAGTTCTCTCTTCGCCGTAGTCTTCAGCTGTTAACAAAGAAGGAGAAGACGTTAGTGGCTTATGGCAGGGAGTTCAAGTCTATCTGTGACTCTCTTAGTGCCATTGGTAAACCTGTGGATGAATCTATGAAGATTTTTGGCTTCCTCAACGGTCTTGGACGGGAATATGATCCTATTACGACAGTGATTCAGAGTTCTTTGACCAAGTTTCCTGCTCCGACATTTAATGACGTTGTTTCTGAGGTTGCTGGTTTTGATGTTCGCCTTAAGTCATATGAAGATTCAGCTGCTGTTAATCCTCATATGGCTTTTGCTACTCAAAACAGTTCTCACAGAGGTGGTTACAATCCGAACTACAGAGGTAGAGGACGCTCTGGCTTTCAGCGTGGTCGTGGTGGTTACTCCAGCCGTGGTCGTGGTTTTCCTCAGCATCAGACAAGCAACAACACTCAGGGAGCCAGACCTACATGTCAGATCTGTGGTCGTACTGGTCACACTGCTCTTAAGTGCTATAATCGCTTTGATAATAACTATCAAGCACAAGCCTTTACCTCTCAACTTGAGTCTGATGAGAACAAAGAGTGGGTTCCAGATTCCGGAGCAACGACTCATGTTACTTCCTCTACCAACAATCTTCAAGGTGTCCATCCTTACTCTGGTTCAGATGCGGTTATGGTAGGTGATGGAGCTTATTTGCCTATTACCCATGTTGGCTCTGCCACTATTGGCTCCTCTGCAGGTACGTTTACTCTTAATGAAGTACTTGTGTGTCCAGATATCAAAAAATCCTTACTGTCAGTATCTAAGTTATGTGATGATTATCCGTGTGGAGTCTACTTTGATGCTAAGAATGTCTATCTTATTGATCTCCTTAAGGAGAAAGTGGTGGTAAAGGGTCCTCGAGGTAATGGATTATACAAGTTGAAGAGCTCTGAGGTTGAGGTGTACTTCTCAAATCGTCACACTACAGTATCTGATTGGGTTTGGCATCTCAGGCTTGGTCATGCTAACTTCAAAGTTCTTCAACAACTTCAGTCCAGCAAGGATATTATGATGAATAAGAGCAGACAGAACCCCATTTGTGAGCCTTGCCAGATGGGGAAGAGTAGTAGGTTAATGTTTTTTGATTCTCAGTCTCATGTTTCTAAGCCCTTACATAGGATACACTGTGACCTCTGGGGGCCGTCTCCTATAGTTACCAGTCAGGGTTTCCGTTATTATGCTATTTTTGTGGATGATTGTACTAGATACTCGTGGCTTTATCCACTGCATAATAAAGATGAGTTTTATCAAGTTTTCACTGCGTTTAAGAAACTTGTTGAGAATCAATTCAACTCAAGAATTAAGGAGTTTCAATCTGATGGAGGTGGTGAGTTTGTAAACCACTTAATGAAGAAATTTCTTACTGATAATGGAATACAGCATCGCATCTCTTGCCCTTATACTCCGGCTCAGAATGGTCTGGCAGAAAGAAGACACAGACATTGTGTTGAGCTTGGACTCTCCATGATGTTTCAGAGTCATCTTCCTTTACATCTTTGGGTTGAAGCTTTCTCCACTGCAGTCTACATTATCAATCGTCTGCCATCTGCTGCTCTCAACAACCAAAGTCCCTTTGAGAAATTGTTGCAGGCTAAGCCAGAGTATGCATCCCTTCGTGTGCTTGGTACTGCCTGTTATCCTTGTCTTAGACCGTTACAAGATCACAAACTCGAGCCTAAGTCTCTCCAGTGTGTATTTGTTGGTTACAGTAATCAGTACAAGGGGTATAGGTGCCTCTATCCTCCCACTGGAAAGGTCTACATATCTAGACATGTAATTTTCGATGAAGAGTGTTTTCCTTTCAAGAACAAGTACAAGAGTTGTGTTCCACGGTATGACTCTCGTCTCCTCAAAGCCTGGCAGACTGCAACAATGACTGAATCTGTGCCTGTTGTTGAAGAACAAGTTACACGGTTCTTGAGTGTTCCTCAACATATTCATCCTCCGGCTGCAGCTGGTGCTACTCCTCAACATGAGCAACACTTTGGAGACTTCAATGATCAACCTGAAGCTTCAAATGTTCCACATGAAGAGCATGTGGTTCCTCCTGTTCCCAACCTCCATCCTATGCAAACAAGGGGGAAATCTGGTATTTATAAACCCAATACGAGATATGTTTTACTTGCACCTAAACACCCTACTGGAATTCCTAGAAACATCAGAGAAGCTATGGATCATCCGGGCTGGTTTAAAGCTGTGTCTACTGAAATGGAGAACATTCATCTTCTTCATACTTGGTGTCTTGTCCCACGAACTGATGAGATGAATGTCATTACAAGTCGTTGGGTGTATACTGAGAAACTTAATCCAGATGGTACTGTAAAAGGACTGAGAGCTAGGCTGGTTGGCAGAGGTTTTCAACAAGAAGAAGGTCAGGATTTCCTAGAGACTTTTAGTCCAGTTGTTAGGACTGCAACTATACGGTTGATGCTGGGTGTTGCGATCTCAAAGGGATGGGAGATCAAACAACTGGACGTCTCTAGTGCTTTTCTTCATGGTAGTCTATCTGAACCAGTATACATGGAGCAACCAGAGGGGTTTGTTGATCCTCAACGACCTGACTATGTCTGCAAATTAACTAAAGCCTTATATGGTCTTCGACAGGCACCTCGTGCATGGTTTGATACGTTTAGTAACTACCTGATAGATTATGGCTTTGTCTGCAGCAGGTCTGACCCCTCTCTGTTCACTTACAACTGGAACAACAAGTCCATGGTGTTACTGCTTTATGTTGATGATATTCTACTTACGGGTTGTGATCAAGATGTAGTCAAAAGGTTTGTGAATTCTCTGTCTCACCGCTTCTCAATGAAGGACATGGGTACACCACACTACTTTCTTGGCGTTGAGTTACAGTCTACTGCTCAAGGTTTGGTTCTTCATCAACGTGCCTATACAGAGGAGATTCTGTATCAAGCGGCTATGTCGGATTGCAACCCTATGCCTACTCCACTTCCTCAGAGAATAGATGATACAGATACTACTCTTTTCTCTGAACCTACCTATTTTAGGAGTCTTGCTGGAAGGTTACAGTATCTAACTATCACTCGTCCAGACATCCAATATGCTGTGAATGTTGTTTGTCAAAGGATGCATGCACCCACAGTCTCTGACTTTGGTCTTCTAAAGAGGGTGATGAGGTATTTGAAAGGCACTTTACACCTTGGTCTTCATCTTCGCAGAGACTGTAATACTACTCTGGTGGCTTATTGTGACAGTGACTGGGCAGGCTGTCAGAAGACACGACGGTCTACAACTGGTTTCTGCACTTTTCTCGGTTCTAATCTTATCTCTTGGTCTGCAAAGCGTCAAGAGACAGTGTCAAGGTCTTCAACTGAAGCTGAGTACCGGGCCTTAGCTTCAACGGCTCAGGAAATTACTTGGATTTCACAGCTGCTCCGTGATCTCAAAGTCTCTCAGCCGTCAGCAACTCTGCTTCTATGTGACAACTTATCAGCCGTATACTTGAGCACGAACCCTGCGCTGCATAAAAGGTCAAAACATTTCGATACAGATTATCATTATATTCGAGAGCAAGTTGCTTTGGGGCTGATTGAGACTAGGCACATACCGGCGGAGCGTCAGGTAGCAGACATATTCACTAAATCACTCCCACGCCGAGCTTTTGAACATCTGAGACGCAAACTTGGTGTGGAAGAAACTCCCACCTCAAGTTTGAGGGGGAATGTGAGTCAAGCCCAACAAGATTTGAATATGAAGGCCCAAGCGAAGCCCACCACACTCTGTCTTCAACGGTCTTCATCTTTGTCGGATTGCAGAGGAAGGGAGAGCTGTACGGTGAACCGTTTCACCCCTCTGCTAGCTTTATGTGCTGGCTAATCTTATCTCCTTTCCAGCTGTATAGCCAAGCTTATCTAGATCCTTNAAGGGAGAGCTGTACGGTGAACCGTTTCACCCCTCTGCTAGCTTTATGTGCTGGCTAATCTTATCTCCTTTCCAGCTGTATAGCCAAGCTTATCTAGATCCTTCTTAATGCTATTTATATGGCTGTGTAAACCCAACTTATTATTCATTCAAAGAAAGTATTGTTCAGTCAAATTTGTCTCTTTCTCTTAACGTTCATACTATGTACTTTGGTCTCATGGGTGATAGTCAGCCTATTGGTCGCTACGACGATATGTGGGCTGGTTGGTGCATCAAGGTACTTACTCTCTTTTTCCATTCTCTTTTGGAGAGATATTACAAGTTAAAAATAGTTTAATGAATGTTCACATGTTCTTAATAGGTGATCTGTGACCACTTGGGTTTGGGAGTGAAGACCGGTTTGCCATACATTTACCACAGCAAAGCGAGCAACCCGTTTGTGAACCTGAAGAAAGAATACAAGGGAATCTTCTGGCAGGAGGAGATCATTCCTTTCTTCCAGAATGCAAAGCTATCTAAAGAAGCAACCACTGTTCAGCAATGCTACATTGAGCTCTCTAAGATGGTGAAGGAGAAGCTGAGCTCCCTAGACCCATACTTTGACAAGCTTGCTGATGCCATGGTGACATGGATTGAAGCTTGGGATGAGCTTAACCCACCAGCTGCTGCTGCAGCTAATGGCAAAGCTTGAGTAGAATGAGCAAACAAAAAAAACCGCCACAGTTTTGGTTACTCTTTTTTAAGCTCAAGTTATATGTCTACTTTTCAGTTTCGGATTTTATGAACTCACTTTTGAGTAGTTGACATTTATCATTACGTTCTCATGCCCACTAGTTTATTCATAAACCAGTGGTGGATTTGTAGTGCTATTTTAAGTTTTCGATGTTTCATTAATAAAAGGCTTTTCCCATCATTACACATCCTTTCTTATTGTTTTTTTTTTAATAGAGAAATATATAATTAAGATATTTTTATGAATATTCTAAATATATTCAAAATTTTATTTTATGAATAACATTTTTTTTGTTCATGAAAGTTGAAAACCAGTTTTATTATTTTTTTGCAAGATTTTTGTAAGGTTATGATATTATTTAAATCTCAATTTAATTAAAGATCTGTAGACTATTATGTAATTAAGTATGTGTCTATATATATATATATTAATGTTGTATTTCTCTAAAAATATATTTATTTGAGTCATAATTATAAAAAATAAAAAATAAGAACGATTTTTAAGATATATTTAGTCATAGTTATAAAATGCATTGAAAATATAAAATTTTTTTTTTATACATTATCAGTGAAGTGATTTTGATACGTGACATCACCAGTTCACCACAATCAATTTTATAAAAAAGAGATGACATGTACACTAATAATGATGGCATGGTTTGGAGATAATTAGACATAAAGAATTATATTTAATGTTAATTAAATTTTGTTAAGTTTTAAAAATATGGTAGTAACTCATAAATCATAACTAATATAACAATAAATAATATAATAGTTAAAATATGAATATAATAATATTTAAAAAAATTTGTCTATTTCTTTTATAATTATATAACTTTTATTAATAAAAATTCTTTAAAATTTTATGTTTAAAAAATTAGAATACTAATACTATTAGTTTATTTATAACATCTATAAATTTTTAGACATATTATTCAATTTTATATTTTGATAATTATATACCTAAAATCCTTCTTTTAATGGTATATAATTTGATTTAATATATTTTAACCAAAAAAAAAGATAAAAAATCTTCCAAGAATATAATTTTAAATATATATATATATATATTATTACATATAAATTAAATAAAAATTATTTGTTTTATCTGAATTTTTATAAAGTAACATATAATTAATAATATGAAATGAAATTTTACTTTTAAATAGAATTTAATTTTCAAAACTTTTACTTTTGCACATGGTGCAAGAAAACACCATGTATATTTTAGAAACATTGGCAAAATATATATAACAAGAATATTCAAATTGGTTACTTCTTACCGAATTGGGTTTCGATGGGGCAGACCATTAGCAATACTGTGGGCCTGTTTAGGGTTTCTAAACCAGACTTAGCTAGGGTTTACAGTTTGCAACCAATAGAAATGTCTCTTCCAAAACTATTAGCCCCCTATTTATAGTTTTACTACTTCTTGGTAATTATAGCAAAGGGTAGACAGAGAGACAGACATTTAGGGTTTGGGAACCATCATGATGGTTACATGCAGTAAGAAGAAAAAACTGAAGAAAGGTAGAAAGAGAAACTTTGTTGAAATCCCACAAAACCTAGTGAAGGAGATTATCAAGAGATTGCCTGTGAAATCTGTAGCTAGGTTTCTTCTAGTATCCAAGTCATGGGCAAATCTCATCACCGGTCAAGATTTCATCAGATCATTCCCAACTAGGTCTTGTTCGTCTCAGCCTCGTGTCCTAGTCAGTATCATTGGTCGAACTACATCATGTAAACGCCAATATTGCTGCTTCTTCTCGTCGTCTTCCACATCAACGACTTTTCTGTCACGTGTTGAATGTCCCCATGAAGATCCTGAAAACTTCTTCTACCATCCTCATTATGCTAACGGCTTGATAAGGCTTGGATGTGGTACTCAAAAAATCATATGCAACCCTAGCACCGGTAAGCCCATAACTTTACCAAGAGTCGAAAGCATAAAAAGGGTCTCCAAAAGTTTGTTCGGGTATGATCCGGTTAACGATGCATACAAAATATTATGCATGACGAAAAACCGGGTTATGAAATGCAATTCACCATCATATGAATATCAATATCAAGTACTGACTTTGGGAGCTGAACAGTCTTCATGGAGAAAGATAGAATGTAGCATTCCACACCGTTATTGCTCTAACGCTTATGTGTGCATAGATGGTGTTGTTTACTATGTTGGTAGTACTATTAACAGAACAGGTTCTGACTGGGGCTTGATGAAATTTGATTTGAGGTATGAAAAGTTTGATCGTCTTACTAGCTTATCCTCAGACATGGCACGTCTAGGTGATGATTGCGTTTTGATAAACTACAAGGGGAAAGTAGCCATAGCCGCTAATGCTAGAGGAAATACATTTAATGTGTGGGTTATAGATCAGGATGCTGATCCAAAACATGGATGGTTGAAGAAAAGTTTTTGTACTGAATCTTGGAAAAGTTCATCAAAGTTATTCATATATGGCTCTACTCGCACGGGTGAGTTTGTTTTGGCACCAAGATTCTATTCTGATGACTTTAATGTTATGCTTTACAATCCCAACACGGATGGTTTGAGAAAAATTAAGGTTGACGTAAAGGAAGGCAACGAGTTCAAGTATTTTCGTCGTACGAGAGTAATGGTTTTCCCGGAGTACGTTGAGAGTATTAGGTTGTTGTAAGGAGAGACAGTTTCACAGTTTGCGTTAATTTTCTTTTTATACATTTTATTCAATATTTGCGTTTAGACATTTTCTGAATATGTTATGCTTTTTATTTATTTCATAAACTAGTTTCATTTTCCTATATATATCTCGAGTTTTTATACATATTTTATATGATCAGTTGTATCTTTTTATGTGATGTTGTTGGCATTAGCTATTGTTTATCATGATGATATTCTATTTGACGTCTGAGATATTGGATCTTATTTTACTAATTTACCCGCCAATTAACCTTGACGTTGATGTATAATATGAGTTCAATTTCAAGCCTCTTTGTAGGAAGAGTATGTAATTACTAAGACTATGATTAACCACAGTTTCTTAACTAGGGTTTTTAGATTCGGCTAAGAGATTGTTAATCATGCTTTATTTAGGCTGTAGTATATTGGAGGGGAACACAATTTATGATCTGATACCCATAATCATTTTGAGAAAATATATAAATCTCGTAGATCACTCTATTTGTTTAGTCTAAATTCATAAAATACCACCATATTATCTAAAACCATTTAGGTGCTTTTGTATGCTAACACTATAGTGTTAATCAATCGGGTAGCTGGATTTGGAAGAAATGTCTGTAAACTAAGACCTCTAGCAAGGCCCTTTGTTAGGTCCCTTTTAGGTCCCCTCAATGATGTGGTGGGGAGGAATGGTCCCCTGTCATGACAGTTTGCATGAGGGACAATCGTGGATGGCTAACAGTACGTAGAACTCGCAATCTTGTCATAAATCTTCTCAAGGATTGCCTGCTAAATCCAGAACCTATTGCTACTTCAGTAGTGGATGGAATATATGACAAGGAACACTGCCTCAACTTTTCCCCACAGCCTTAACATGGGAGGCTTTATTTCCTCAAGGTCAGCAAGTCTTCTGCCATGAGCAAGTTTGGTTCACTGCCCGTATCCCGAAGCATGCTTTTCTAGTCTGGTTAGCTGCAAGACTTCCCTGCGTAGAAAGTTAGTCTTCTGAATGAAGTTAATTTTTTTTTGTTTTAAATGTACCTATCACCTTAATTAATACTCGATAAATTAATAATCTCTATAAATTAATAAATTTCATCGGTTCCAAATTGGGCCGGTGTAAAATATGACACAAAAAGCCTTTCCATTAGTATTTTTTTTTCAATATCATCTTTTGTTTTCCCCCATGTGTTAGATGGGCAAGCCCATTAATAATACTTTACGTGAGCCTATTAGGGTTTCTCAACAAGACCTAGCTAGAGGTTTGCAGTTTCAAAACGATTGGCTCTCCCTTTACTACTCGCTGGGAAAAATCAAAGAACAGAGGGTTTCAGAACATTAATCATGATGGTCACATGCAGCAAAAAGAAGAAACTGAAGAAAGGTAGAAAGAGTAACTTTGATGAAATTCCTCAAGACCTAGTGATGGAGATTATCTGGAGATTGCCTGTGAAATCGGTAGCTAGGTTTCGTCTAGTATCCAAGTCATGGGCAAGGATCATTAGCAGTCGATATTTTATCAAATCATTCCCTGCTGGGTCTTGTTCGTCTCAGCCTCGTCTCCTAGTCTGTTTCACTAGTCCTGTTTCTGATCTCTCAAGCCAATATTGCTACTTTTTCTCGTGGTCTTCGTCGTCAACAACTTTTCTGTCACGTGTCAAGTGTCCCACTGGAAATCCTAAGTTCTATAACTACCATCATTATGCTAACGGCTTGATAAGACTTGGATATGATAAAAGAAAACTCATATGTAACCCTAGCACCGGTAAGTCCATAACGTTACCAAGAGCCAGGGACAGAGTCTCCAGAAGTTTCTTCGGGTACGATCCAGTTAATGATCATCACAAAATATTACTCATGACGAGAAACCTGCCTAACAACGGTCACGAATCACCATTTTATGAATATCAAGTACTCACATTGGGAGCTGAACAGTCTTCATGGAGAATGATAGAATGTAATATTCCCCACCGTTTTTGCTCTAACTCTCATGTGTGCATAGATGGTGCTGTTTACTATGTTGTTAAAACAGGCGCTGACTGGTCGCAATGGAGCTTGATGAAATTCGATCTGAGGTATGAAAAGTTAGATCGTGTTACTAGCTTATCCTCAGACATGTTAAACCCAGCTGATGGTTGCACTTTGATAAATTACGAGGGGAAAGTAGCCGTACCCTATACTAAAGGAAATCTATATAATAATAGTACACTTTCTAGGCTCCACAACGCGCCACATCAGCAATTTTGTGGGTCCCGTATGTATTTTTTAAAAACTTATACTCTTGGTAAGATGATTACAAACAATGAAATACACTTTAGCCAAGTGGTATAAGGTGTCTATTTAAGCATGCAAGATCACAGGTTCAAACCACGCAGCCATCATTTATTTTTGATTTTTTTTTTATTTGGGTTATTATCATATGGGCTTTTTGTTTGTAAGGTTTTATGTTTTTTTTTATGGCTTATTGTTTTAAAGATCAAAATAGTTGGATAAACCCTAAAGCTTAACGAGTTCAAACAAAAAATAGTTAAAAATGGATGCCAAAACAAACAATAAAAAAAAAGCAAGTCTCACGCGGTTGCCTACGCGGATGGCTTAAAGAGCCTTAAAACTATCCTATTATAATATAGTTCAATCCAAAAATAATAAAAAATGAATCCAAAAACGAACCGACCAAAAAAAAAAAGTGAATCCCATGCGGCTACCTACGTGGATGGCTTAATGAGGCTTGAATAATATAGATTAAGAGCTCAAAAAGTGAAATCATTGCACATATTTCCTAATATATATTTTCAAAAAATTTGTATGTGAGATAAAATAAAAAAACAACAAAAATTAATTATTTTGGTTATTTATTTAATGAATATGTAATTTCTCTTACATTTTAATAACTATTTTAATTTTATTGAAAACATTCCTCACCACCGATTTTAGACTCCGGCAAATGGATTCCCACAGTCGATGACGATGTAAATAAAAATGCCACATCATTTATGAACAAAACTCAAACTTACAAAAAAACATATAAAAAGCCTATTTAATGAAACTTAAGCAACGAATGTTAACTTAATTAAGGTCATTTTCAAATTGATAAATTGTTTAATACAAATATAAATATACTATAAATATAGAATTATATCAAGTTTTGACCTACGATATAAAAACTATTTACAACAAAAAAACACCTACTTTTACACACTAAAAACTATATTATAGCCTAACTATTCCTATAAACCTTATTTCGCATATAAATAACATTTAACTCATTCCTAAATATATTTTCAAAAAATTTGTAAGTGAAATAAAATAAAATAAAATAAAATAAACAACAAAATTTAAGTATTTTTCGTTATTTATTAAATGAATATGTAATTTCTCTTACATTTTAATAACTACTATAATTTCAATGAAAACATTCTTCACCACCGACTCCAGACTTCGGCGAATGGATTCCCACAGTCGATGACGTCGTAGATAAAAATGCCACATCATTTATGAACAAAACCCAAACTTACAAAAAACCATATATAAAAAAAAATCTAATGAAACTTAAACAACAAATATTAACTTAATTAAGGTTATTTTTAAATTGATAAAACGTTTAATACAAATATAAATACTATAAATATAGAATTATATCGAGTTTTGACATACGATATAAAAACTATTTACAGCAAAAAAAAAAAATAGACACATACTTTTACACACTAACAATTATATTACAACCTAAATGTTCCTATAAACCTTACTTCGCATATAAATAACATTTAACACATTAGATATACAATATTTTCACTTTACACTCTTACTACATTTTTTCCATTTCATTATTATTTGGTGTCATTAGAAGAATCCACTAAACCACTAAATCGAAAAAAATATACGCAAACATAATGATTCCGGCCCCGCGCTTGCGCGGGGAGTATGCAACTAGTACATTTAATGTTTGGGTTATGGATCAGGCTGCTGATTCAGAACATGGATGGTTGAAGAAAAGTTTTAGTATAGAATCTTGCAAAATTTTATCAAGGTTACGCATATATGGCTCTACTAACAAGGGTGAGTTTGTTTTTGCACCAAGGTACTATTCTGATGACTTTAGTGTTGTACTTTACAATCCCAACACGAATGGTTTGAGAAAACTGAGGACTGGCGTAAAGGGAAACTATGAGTTCAAGCATCGTAATTGTACGAGGGTAATGGTTTTTGCGGACTACGTTGAGAGTATTAGGTTGTTGTAGGAGAGACACAGTTTCACAGTTTACGTTAATTTACTTTTTTTTAAAAGTAACTAGATTTTGACTGAAATTTTTTATGATTGAAAATTTATATGACTGGGTTTTGTTTTAGTTTAAAGAATGTTTTGATATAAAATTAGTTCACCAAAATTTGTGGTGGTGATTGTTTTTTATTAGTTTTTAATTTCAGTTTTTATTTTTAGATTTTGGCTTTTGGTTTTTAGTTTTTAAGTTTATATTTTTGATTTTCACATTTTGGTTTGAGTTTTTAATTTTTAGACCGCTGAGTTAGTTTGAACTGATATTACCAACAAACAAATCTCTAATAATCTAACATCTAATTTAAAATTGAAAAGGTGAAATTTTTTTTTTTTTTTTTTAAATTGCAATAGTTTATTTTGTAAATAAAAACAAAAACAAAAAATATAACGTGTTTCAGCTTTTGGTTTTGGATTTTAGTTTTTTAGATTTGGTTTTTAGTTTTGCTTTACATTTTTTTTTAAATCTGTAAATTATTTAAAAAAAATAAAAGAATAAATTATTTTAAAGTTACCATTGAAATTTATCAAAAAAATGATTGTTATTTAAAATAAAAAATATATTAACATGTTTTAAAGTACATGATTTGAATAAATGATTAATAATAGACAATTTTATTTTGTTAAAAATACTAAATACCTTTTGGGCCTGAAAATAATAATTGATTTTTTGATTCATCGAGGTGGAAAGTTTATTCAATGTTTTTTGGAGTTTTTCCTTAATACTGAGTCCAAAAACCCAACCATATAATTTGTTCTAAAAAGAAAAGTAAGCCCAAGACTATATCTCAACCACCGGTTTAATTTAAGTAATGTGGTTCAATAAATATATGGCTTGTATTATTTGTAACACTCTAGAAAGAGTCTAAATTTTAATGACAATTTGTGTCAGTAGATAAAAGAATGACTTTATTTTAATAGATAGATTCAATGTTTGCGTTGAATAAGACCTTTTTTGAATATGTGATACGTTTATTGACTTATTCCATAAACTAGTTTGATTCGTCTGCTTGCTAGTCTCCTACATCTCGAGTTTTTATACATATTTCCCTATTTTATATGACCAGTTGTATTTTTTTTTGGGAAAATTTCATATAAATACCCCAACTAAATTTTATTAAACTTTATAATACCTAAAATTTTTCACTACCTAATTTTAATACCTCAACTAATAATCTTTCCCACTTTAATATACAAACTTTTATAACTCTGCCCATTTCAATACCCAATTTTTTTTTTTAATTAACAATACTAATAAGTTTCAAAAAAAAATTAAAAAATCTCCAAAATTCAAGAAAAAACATTTAAAATTTCTAAGTTTACTCTAAGATTTAAGAAAGAAGGTAAATAAACTCGGGAGAAAATTTAAATGTTTAAAAAAATATATATTTTGATAAAAAAAAAATATTTCCAGGTACATTAGTATATTTTGATTTTTTTTCTTAAGCCGTGGAAAATATGTCAAAGCAACACTTTTCAGTGTAATTTTTTATAGAATTTATTTTTTACCCTTTCAAATAACTAATCAATATTTATTTAAATAGTTATACATAGAATAAGGCTACATTAGTATATTTTATCACTTTTTTACTCTGCATGAAATGTGTTAAAGTAACACATTTTGCGAAATCGAGAGATAATATAACTTTGAGCAAGTTTTAAAGCTTGTTCTTTTTTTTCATCTAACTTCAAGTAGTAGTGATTTTCAGCAGTGTTACATTGAGTTCTCTAAGATGGTGAAGGAGGCTCCCTAGATCCCTACTTTGACGAGCTTGCAGATGCCATGGTGACATGGATTGAAGCTTGGGATGAGCCGAACCCACCACCAGAAGCAGCTGATGGCAAAGCTTGAGCAATATGAGCAAACAAAAAAACCGCCACAGTTTTGGTGATTTCTTAAAGCTCAAGTTATCTTTCTAATTTTCAATTTCGTATTTCATGAATCTCACTCTTGAGTAGTTTACACTTATTATTATTGGTTTATTTATAAACAATGGTGGATTTCTAGTGCTGTCTATATTTTCTTAATTTGTTTCATTTATAGAAGGCCTTTCTCCATTAGTATTTTTTTTTCAATATCATCTATTATTTTCCCACTTCTGTTAGATGGGCAAGTCCATTAATAATATTGTACGTGAGCCTGTTATAGTTTCTCAACAAGACCTAGCAATAGGTTTTCAGTTCCAAAACGGTTGGCTCCCTATATATAGTTTCACTTCTCGTTGGGAAAAAAGCAAAGAGTGGACAGGGAGACAAACATTTAGGGTTTCAGAACGATCATGATGAGCACATGCAGCAAAAAGAAGAAATTTGAGAACCATAGTGAAGGTAGAAAGAGTAACTTTGATGAATTCCCTCAAGACCTATTGATGGAGATTATCGGTCATGGGGAAGGATCATTAGCAGTCGATATTTCATCAAATCATTCCCTGCTGGGCAGAACCGGTCCTGAATATTTATAGACCGGAAGCAATTAATAAAAGAAGGCCTATTGGTGTAGTTAGGAATTGAACCCATTACCTATATCTCTATTTTAACTATCATTAACCACTAAACTACTTAAGTTTATTAAATATTTTGGCCCATATTTTACATAAACAAAAAAGGCTGGAAGCTTATGCTTCCTTTGCTTCCCCTCAGGGCCGCTACTGCTGTTGGGTCTTGTTCGTCGTCTCAGCCTCGTGTCCTAGTCTGTTTCATTGATCAACCTAGACTATGGAACAAAAGCCAATATTGCTACTTCTTCTCGTCGTCTTCATCATCAACAACTTTTCTGTCACGTGTTAAATCTCCCATTAAAGATCCTGACTACCTTCCTTACCGTTCTCGTTATACTAACGGCTTGACAAAACTTGGATATGGTAAAAACATATACTCATATGTAACCCTAGCACCGGTAAGTCCATCACTTTACCAAGAGTAGTCAGGGACTCTAGAAGTTTCTTCGGGTACGATCCAATTAATGATCATTACAAGATATTACTCATGACTACAGACCTGCCCAACGGTCAAGAATCACCATTATCTGAATCTCAAGTACTCACATTGGGAGCTAAACAGTCTTCATGGAGAATGATAGAATGTAGTATACCCCACCGTTTATGCTCTAACTCTCATGTGTGCATAGATGGTGTTGTTTACTTTGTTGTTAAAACAGGCGCTGACTTGTCGCAACGGAGCTTGGTGAAATTCGATTTGAGGTATGAAAAGTTGGATTTTGTAACTAGTTTACCTGCAGACATGCCATGTCTACGTGGTTGCTGCTCTTTTATAAACTACGAGGGGAAAGTAGCCATACCCACTAGGGCTAGCGGAAATACATTTAATGTGTGGGTTATAGATCAGGCTGCTCCGAAACATGGATGGTTGAAGCTCAGTTTTAGTACTGAATCTTGGAATATTTTATCAATGTTACGCATATATGGCTTTACTCACACGGGTGAGTTTGTTTTGGCACCAAAGTACTATTCTGGTCACTTTAATGTGATACTTTACAATACCAACACGAAGGGTTTGAGAAAAATTAAGGTTGACGTAAAAGGAGACTATGAGTTCATGCATGGTCGCCGTACGAAAGCAGTGGTTTTTTCAGAGTACATTGAGAGTATTTGTAAGAGAGACAGTTTTCATAGTTTGCGTTGAGTGTGACTATTTTTTCTGAATGTCTTATCCATAAACTAGTTTGATTCGTCTCCTATCTCGAGTTTTTATACAAAATTTTATATGACCGGTTATACTCGTTTTCTGTGATTTTGTTGGGATTCATTAGCTATCGTTTATGCCTACCATATCGAAATTCATATACGGCTTTAACTACAAAACTACTCTTAGCTATTTAAGCATGGTGTATCGTTACGAATTAGGCTGTTCATGTCTATAAATTATAACATAGATAAGACCTGTTTGATAATTTTTTTTTATCTTCAAGTTCTATCATTTTAACTTTTAACTAGGTGGCTTCCTGCACCATGTGCAGAAATAAAGTTTTTAAAATAAATTTATATTTAAAAATAGAATAGAATTATTTTTTAAATTTATTATTTTATTACATTATTAATTTTACATTAATTATATGTAAAAATTAAAAGAAAATAAACAGTTTTCTATAAATATATGACAGTTCTCTCAAATAGAACTTTTTTAGGTTTTTTCACAAAAATAGATCTTAAAACTAAAATGACCAAAACATCATTTTTTATTTTGAAAATTTCAATTTTTTTTTTTAAAAAAAATTTGTAATCCTATCCCAAAACCCCACTCCTCAACTTTAAACAAAAAAGTTTACGATTAGTTAACCCAAAGGATATAAGTGTATATTTACTTATTTTTGATAAAATATTTAAGTCTATCTTGGTCATTTTTATTTTAAGGTCTATATTTGTGAATAAAACTTTTTTTGGTCTATCTTAAAAAAAAATTCTTAAATTTATATTTAATCATATATATGTATTTTTATCTTTTGGTTAAATTATATTAAATCAGATTCTATACTATTAAGAGAAAAATTTTGTTAGTATATAATTATCAAAATATAAAATTAAATAATATTTCTAAAATTTATAGATGTTACAAATAAAGCTAATGGTATTGGGATTAGAAATTTTAATTTTAAAAAATACTGCATAACATTTTGAAAAAAATATTATTAATAAAAATATATAATTATAAAAATACACTTAAAAATATTTCAATATTTGTAATATTATTATATTTATATTTATACTATTATATTATTTATTATCTTAATGATAATTTATGAGTTCTTTTTCTTATCACTATTTTAATACAAATTTTTGTTTAATCAAACATAAAAAGTAATATAAAAATATTTTTGATTATTTTAAATTATATTTAAGAATATGCATGTATATATTTAAAATTATAATCTTAGATAATTTTTTATGTATTTATTTTAGTTAAATATATTAAGTAAATTTATAGAAAATTTTATAATTATCAAAAATTAAAATTAGACAATATTTATTAAATTTTTAAATATATAAGAAATTACTAATTTTAGGATTAAATTTTAATAATTTTCAAAAAATGTATTTATTTTTGAAATTTTTGTAATAAAATTGTATAGTTTTATAATATATAATTAAATGATATTTTCGAAATTTTTAATGCCATATTGGTATATATTTATTTTAATGATGATTTATTAGTTATTACCATATTTTAAATATATTTCCAAAAATATAAATCGATATTAAATGTAATATATGAGTGGTTACCATATTCTATAAAGTTTTCCAAAAATATATATTAACATTAAATACAATTGTCCATGTCATATTTAATCATATGCCATGTCATCAATTCTAAAAGACATATCACCATTTTTTTGTGAAACTGATTCTAGAGAGGACATATGGCAAAATCACTTCACAAATAACGTATAGGGGATCTTGCATCAAATCTATGAATTCAAGCAATATGAGTTATAAGAAGAAAATAATATAGAACTGAATTATGTTTGCTACATTGGGTCGATAATGTTGTGACCGCGCATGATGATATTCCATTTGACGTCTGAAATTCTGAATCTTTTTACTAATTTACCTGCCGACGTTGACCTTGATGAAGCTCAGTCTATATGGGTTCAACTTCAAGCCTCCTAGTTGTGTGTAATTAGGTTGTCGTATGGGGAACGCAATCCATGATTTGCTACCCATAATCTTTTTTTTTTTAAATAAATATAATCTTGTAAATTTCTCTATTTGTTAGTCTAAATTCATATACTAATCACCACATTATCTAAAACAAGGAGATTTTTGTACTTTAGTATACATAATTTAATACATTAATACTTAGCACCTTCAAAAATCGAATTTATGGGTCCGAATGGCATGAAAACTATGTAACAATACTGATATAATCTTAATAATAAAAAAATATAAATATATAGATATATGTAGAAATTTTCGTTATTATTAACTCCGGTGTGCTGAAATTTGTAAGCATTCGAAACCATATTTGAAAGTATACTCTACCCCCAGATAAATAAATGATATAATTCTAGTCATCATTTTTGGAGTTGAATGAAATTTTTTAATGTCGGGCTAAGAAAAAGATTTAAATATGAGCAAGTTTAAAGCTTTTTTTAAAGGAAAACATTAATGCATTTAATGACAATCTTAAAAATGGAGGGAGTATTGTGTTTAGTGGCATCCCTTGTCTTCTATCTAGACTAGATGAAATATTTCGAAAAGTGACTAATGTTACATTTTGTAATGACTAAAATAAAGCCCAACATATAGTAACAAAAAAATCTCGTGGTAAAATGTCTGGAATACACTTAGTCTCTACAACACCAAACTATTATTCACAAACAAAAACATTTTGCTTCTTAATAAAACTTATCATACAAATATAACCAAACCATTGCGGAAATTTATTGCAAAGAAAAAACCTTACATGTTTGCAATCGTTGTGACAAAAGGCACCAATCTTCTGTAATCTCTTCTTCCTAGTGCACAGCTATCAAGAACTCGACCCAACATTAGCCTTGTGTTCTGCAAAGCCACATCTCTCGGAGGTATCCCTGATTCTCCTGCAGCTCCTCCGAGAGGAAACGCTTGCGACATTGTTGCCGCCATCATTGTGTACTGGAGAGGTCCGCTTCGAGCTTTGAATGAAGTCTGAGGCATAAGCGTTTTCTCATCAGCCCCGTTCTCAAAGTAACCGGAATCCTGAGGATGGCTACCGCCTTGTACCGGGCTACAGCTTTGAAGAAGAGCTTCGAGAACACTCAATGCTTCCCAGCACAGAGTGCTTTCGACTAGCTGCGAAACGATAGTGTACATGTGGGGACTCTGTGAAGCATCCATGGGAGTGTGTTGGAGCAATGCCTTGAGCATAAGTAGAATGACTCGTTGGTAGTCCACTGGTCCTTTCTTTAGCAGTCTTAACAAGTGACCGAAAGCTAAAGCAGAGTGTTTTGGGAACCATTTGTTGCACAGGAGAGGAGAAACGCATGCGAGGAGGTTATCAACTCGTTTTATCTCACCTCGAGAGTAAGCAACAAAGACCGTAGCCAATTCATCGAGTGATTTCGCACGACACCAGATAGCAATGTTAGCTGCTACAGAACACGCCTTTTGGTACTGCTGCTGGACTTGGTCTTGACTAAGCTGCAAGCAAAGCCAAGGAAGTAGACCTGTGATGTGCATTAGGAGTCTTGTCTCGGTGTCGCCAAAGATAGAATCACATGAAGGCACTGTGATCCTTGATAGGACTTCGATGGAGAACTCGTGGCTAACAGTAGACATGAGTCCTTTAAGGACAAGAGGCTGTACACCTTCGAACTTGGGCAGAGTTCCACTTGAAGATGGCATCTCGTACCCTGTCCTTTGGAAGTCCCCCAAATCATTATTAGTGTTGTTGAATTCGTCGCGGGGCATACTCGACAAGAGAACGTTCTCAGTTGTTTTGTCACGGAATGAAAGACGGTCAATAATACGGGAGAAGAGCTCAAGGACCTGGCAGTAGACATGGATAAAGTCTGTGTGCATCATGGCTACACAGCCCCAGAAGAGTTGTGGGTAGAGTATGACTTTCTCTGGCTCCATGTTCTCTACCATGACCTGTAGCGTCAGAAGGATTTCCATTATAAAACCCAAAACTGGAGGAATGGGATTGCTAAGACATCGATGAAGACAGCGTAGAAGTGCGACACATGCATCACTTGTCACACTTGGCCGTAGCGCACGGTATATCTGGTGTGACCGACAGGCTAGATGTCTTGAAGTGCATTCCATAGCCCATTTGAGAGCTTCAGTTCCCCATGTTTCTCGAAGATCTCCTTGAAAGAATATAGCATCTACCATACTCTGTACAAGTGCAGACAAAAGAGCAGCACTAGGAAGATCTGTTCTCACAACAGTTGGATCTTCATTCTCCCACATCATGCTCCCTCGCTTTGATTGCACATACTTTATTAAACTCACAACCTGTTGTTTGTTCTCTCCGTCGCTGTTCTCCACCTCATATAGCTCCAAATGGCGACCCGCAAGCGAGTACAACAAATTCACAAGCAAGTGTTGACAATGCTCTAGCACAATGTCTTCAGAACTATCCATCGAAACAAAAGTGACATGGAAAAGCAACGGTAAATGTTCCCTGAAATCTTCATCATTCTCATATGCGATTTCTGCAAGAAGAATCAGAGCTATATCAGCATGGGTGAGTGAGTGCTGTTGATGTCCCTGCAAGGCTGATTGGAGTTCCTTTGCATTGACACCGTGCATTGCGATCCCAGAATGCAACACATCGTCCCCAGAATTTGGTGTATCAATGAGATAATCTCCACTATCACGTGAGATATGGCGACTCCTCACACTTCCTGTTGAACTCCTAACTCCCATTAATGGTCCTGATGAATTCACCAACGATGGCAGGAGCTGACCAGAACGACCAGTAGCTACAGGGACAATGTTCAACTCTGGAGGCATTGGACTTAAAGGTCCAGAAGCACTTCTACCAGCCACGCCTCCTGTTCTCCAGCTTAGGCTTCCACTTGTATTCCTAAGGGGACCTTCAAGGGATCCTCGGACAAGAAGTGGTGACATGTGTGGCTGAGTGTCTGCAACTGAAGCAACTTGAGGTGCTGTGGCCGGTCCCTGGGAGAACTCCAGCAC